TCAATTTCCGTTGGAGCATATTTAAGTAAGGGTGGTGGAGTATTTTAGTTAATCTCCTGCCACTTGCTAGAGTACGTCCTAGGTAAAAATGTCTGATCTTAATTTAAGAGAATACGAAATAGTTTTTTTTTTTAAAAAATAAAAATAAAATTCGATCGGCCAGTCAGCATTCAATCGGGTGCGAGTGCTTGCGATTTCTGGGTCATCACTCGGGCCTGAAAATGCCCGATCGGGCGGTGAATCAGCGAAATTCATCTCCACTCTCGCGCTCGATCGGGCTGCCATAGCTCGATCGAGAGAGCTTCAATGTTGCTTCGTAGCTAATTGTTCATGCTCTAGTTCATGCTCTAATCCTTGTTTAATTAATTACAACACCATAACCTAAGTAATTAATCAAACAACATGGAATTTGTCTTAAATACTCTAACTTATTCAACAATCCTCTCCCATTTAGAGTATTAAATAAGACTCGTTGCAAATAACATCATCATCACAAAACAATCTTATGCATAAATGAAAGTGTACAAAGACTTGAACTCCCACTTAGTGAAACATACAATTTAAGAATTTGTTTCCATTTGATATCGTAAAACGTTTGAACCAAAAGCAACACATATTGGAAACTTGAAGACATTACACACACATCATTTAACAAATCACGGCATCAATTTTTTTTCTTAATTACAATAAATTATGTAACTTAACAACTTAGGGCGTCATTGGTGATATATACTTACTAGCTATTCATTAATAGACAAAAATATATACGAGTATGAATAGTTATTTAATTAATGTGTCATATATATTGATGTTGAATTGGAATTGGAATTGGAATTTCTATTTGTGTGGGTATTAAGAGAATTTCATTAATTAGTATATTCTGTCAATATGTCGGATTATGGAGATAGTGCACTCAGGGGCGGACTTGGCCTTGTGCCTGGTGGGTCAAATGACTCACCAGGGCCCAAAAAAATTTCTAAGTCTTTTTTTTTTTTTTTAAAAAAAAAAAAAAAATTATTAGTTTGTTAATTTTAGTCTTGTCAATTTTAAGCTTGTTAAATGTTAGTTAGTATTGTAATCTTGTCAATTTTCTATTTGGATGATCTTTGAAAATAATTTTTTTTGGGAATTTTGGTAAAAAATTTTTTTTTTACATATTTGGTTATCGATTGTGAGTTTGTGACTCACCGGTCAGAAATTCCTGGGTCCGCCACTGAGTGCACTTACAAACAATCAAGTGAATTAATGACGATTGTTTGGGAGGGTAGGGTTCCAAAGACGTCAAGATCAACCTAAATTAACAAAATCCAAAGATGATTTATGTATGGCTAAAATGCTCAAATCCACATGATGATGCCACATAAAAAGAAATTAATTCTGGCTATAAATTCATCTAATTAAAATATATATGTGCATATACGAGCACCTAGTATCATACTTCGTATTATATAGTGTTATTATGGATGTTAATTAGTTTAATTGGTTAAATTATTCAAAGTGATACGTCAAAGATCAAATCTAGTACTTTATATACATTATTTGCTCTTTGTAGCTCACTCTATACTAATAATTAAAACAATCTGTGATTATTGTTACATATAGAAAAATAATACAGGAAGCTAGATTGTTAACATAACTGAATGTTTAGTAAAAAAAAATTGTTATAATGTGATTGCTTTAATATGTACCACATCATAGGCGAAGCTACGTCATAAGTTTTGATGAGATCAATTGACTCCATTAAAATTTAAAACGTACTTTTGAATTTTCATTGTAATTTTGGATTGTATATAGCCATTATTAATCCCTAATAAAAAATAAAAAAATAAAAAAAATTATATTTTAACATCACTCCGGAGGGCACAGAGCCACTCAGCCACAGACATATGTACCCTTGTAATAATGTTTTCTTACCTTGCAAAATTTTGAAAATTTTATTTTTCCGTAATTTAGGATTTGCATTATTGTATGCTTGTTTCTCTTAATCATGCACACTAGCTAAGTAAGTAGAATAACAAATCTAAGATTTGACAATTATCAAATTCTTTTACAGAAAATGAACTTTGAATGGTGATTTATTTCGGGTCAAGTATATTTCCTTTGCCCTTTATTATATGTATCAATGAGATATCACACTTACTAATACATAACTTCAACTATTAATATATTATGTTAATCCACATAATAGTAACTATTGGAAGAACAATCCAGAAACATTTTCCTAATAATCCTAATCAATTAATTATTAATTCATGATTAGCCCATCACCATGCCAAATTTCCACCGACTAATATAATATTTAATTAGGGACGGCACTAAATAGTTGTTTAGTTAAGGCAACAACAAAATACCTGATATTATGCCCTAAAGCTTTCCTCAAACTATATGAACGTTTTGAAGAAGCTTATCTCAAAATAATAATATATATATATATAATATGGTTAATAATTGCAATTGGCTAGTTATATGAAAGGGTATGTTCACATTTACTTAATTTTAGTTCAGTTTAGTTCAATTCAGTTCAGCTCCAATCAGTTCAGTTCAGTTCAGCTCTTAATATCCCTCTCTTATAAAATATTCATTTCAGTTCAGCTCCAATCAGTTCAGCTCAATTCAGTTCAGTTCAGTTCCAATCAGTTCAATTAAGCTCAATTCAATAAATGTGAACATGTCAAAAGTTAAGTAGATTAATAGAGTGTATTGAATTCATGTAAATCATTGCTATAAGAATAACATAGAGAGCTATTTACGATTTGTGAAGAAAGTAGATTAATAGAGTATATTGAATTCATGTAAATCATGCAGTTAAGTGTTTGCCAATTTTGCTGATATCAACACTTACGATTGTGAAGAAAGGACAATTACTTAAAAACATAATTTACATAACCAAAGTCAATCAGCCAAAAGTTAACTGAACTACTCCTGCCTTGGCATTTTAATTATATTATCGCTGATTTTAATTATACTCTATATATTAATTCCATATGTACTTGAATATATGTTCGACTCATTTACTGATTTTTGCACGATTTTAAAATTAATCACATGCAAAACTTGAAATCGGATCTCATTTACATCATAACCACCCTTTGACCCTTTCTATAGCTAGTTATACCAAAGTTAAATATCAATAAGAGAATATTTGTGTAGAATTATTTTCCTCATCATAAAACTGTATTAGCTACTTTTATGAGTCACTGTAAACATATGAACTTATTTTAATTTCTCTCTTCTCTTGACCTAGTTCATGTACAAAGTGGTCTTATAATAATAAGACGGTCCTAATTCATGTTGTAACCCCCTATTTGTATTCTGATCTCTAATGCGTGAACTTAGGCAAAAGAAATTTATTGAAATTCTTGGTCTAAAATACTTGGTACGTGATATAGTGATTTGTGGTCTATTTGCCTTTTCGTAAGACATTTCTTCCATTTAGAAGGAGCATATGATGTTGACTGCATTTCTTTTTCACTTAAGTCCAAATCTTGTTTGATTCCCTAGTATTTTGCTGGGATTCAGAGTACTTTTATACAGTACCATATTTAAATACTCCGTATTCACTTAATTTATACAGAGTATTTCGTGTTTTTACTAAGTACGGAGTACATTGCAATTACCAAGCTTGGAGTTGGTGTGTGAGTTTGAGGTCACAAGTTCAAGCCCCATTAACTGCAAAATGTTTAGGAGTAGGGGGATTCTCTTACCTCTCCCATCTACTCTCAAGCACTGACCTGCGGAGTTGGACTGGCTAAACCTATAAGAGGTATCGGTTTTGTAGGGTTGCCAAGTGAAAGTACTTGGGGGTAAGTTACCCTCCCCTCTAGTCCCAAGTGTTTGACCCACATATATTGAACCAAAAAAACAGTGAGCTTGAAAAGCAATACAGTACTATTTAACAAATGGTGAAAAAGTTCAATCTTGACTTGCAAGATGTATAAACCATAAACAATGCAAAAGGATGCGTAAAGTTGCAATCTTCTAATTAATTAATTACATGTTTAATTATAACAAAACGAATGTATGAATATATTCTATTTGGTTTTATGTACTATTTTTCTTAGTTCTCCGCAAGCATCAAATGGACAGATATGTCGAGGACCTTAATCATAGTACTAAACGTTTTTCTTGTTCATTATAAAATTAACTTTATGATACGTTTTCAAATATTTGATACGTTTTTATTATAGTTCTAAGGTTTATCATTTTGGTTTTAAAACGGAGACTGTAATGCTGGTTGGTTCAATAGGTTTGATGTGAAGCTATGTTAAATAGATTCTTCGTTTCACCACAATTATTCATGTTGGACCATTGATACTTGGACATAAGTTTTTATTATAGTACTTTGTGTATCATTTTGGTTTTAAAACGAAGACTATAATGCTGGTTGGTTCAATTGGTTTGACGTGAAGCTATGTTAAATATATTCTTCGTATCACCTCAACTATTCATATCGGGCCGTCAACACTTGGACATAATATGACACTCGAATACTTCACTAATTCACTTTTAGTTGAAAATCATGAAATCTTTTTTACAAAATAGCTGAGTCGGACATAGGTACCCAAGTTCATATAACTAGCGTGAAGCTGAGCATCATGACCTAGTTTTTGTAAGGGTGGCTCAGGCAGGGAGTCGGGGTGAGATGGGTATGAAGTCGGCCGAGAAGGAATCATATATCCTGGCACGGCGTAGAAGAGGATTGTTTGCAAGTTGCGACCGTGACTCTGGTTGGCTCTTGGCTGGGTTGGTTTCCTCGACTAGGGATTGGGTAATATCGGTTGTTACCGTTAGTTACATGGTAAGGGAATGGTCAATTGGTCACTAGCACCACGCTCAATGTGTCAAGCTTGCAACGGACAGTCGATGCCTCAGTGGGTGAATTACTGAAGTTTCCTTCAGAAAATGTTGCAGCAGAAATCTTGAAGTTCAGGGTTGCATCTTTTATTTGATGAAATTATTGGCATTTTTTAGTGCAAAGCAAACAAGAGCAAATGGGGAAATGTACACCACAAAACAATCATAATTGTTAATGGAATGCAAGGAACCACAGCACCAACAATGGTCAATGAATGGTATTGCAAGAATATATCTTTAAGAAAAACCCTAAAAACAATGAAAACTATTTTAGACAAAATACCAGGAAAATGAATCCCAGATAAAGATTATATGATACACTCTAGTGTACAATGACTAACAAAAAACTCCTAGTTCTTCCACATGTACAATGCAACTGCTACCAATATCATATTCCAAAGAAGATCCAAGCCAAGCCCTAATGAAGTGTCCTAACTCGACAAATACCAGCCCTCTAATATAATCATGAGTTGAGATAGCAGTTCACTGATTACCAACAGCTTCTCCCGCTAATCTTCAAATGAAGAAGAAGTCAATCAAGTATAAGGACAAAGGCAACATAATCCAGCAAAGCTATCAAAGTGATTCACTGGACTAGTACCAAATGCTCACAAGGAAAGCACAGTACGATTGTTCTTCTGAGTTGTCAGTTATATTGGAATGGTGAGTCACAAGTAAGACAGACCACATCTTGCCGTTTAAAAGCATATAGGAAGGGAAGAAGAACAAACCTCAAAGCAATAGCGTGAATTTTAATGTTGTCCAAATCTTTTCTGCTGCAAGATTTCTCCAAGCTTCCGGTATAGATCAAGCTGCTCCTCAAATGTAAGGTTCATCAAAATCTACCAAAGAAATGATGTCAGTATAAAGACTTCATGCAATAACTTTAACAACAGACAAAAAAAAACCTTCCTATTATGTATCTGAACAAAGGGAAAACTACCTGGTCCAAGATAGACTCAACTGAGAGGCTTTGTGACTTAACAAAGGATTGATGGTAGATATATGCGAAGACGGCCATTACCATCTGAAAAAATTATAAAAACACTCATGTTTAAATACCGAATTATTATAAAATTTTATTGGGAAATTCTCTTTGGTAACACCGTACTTTTTACTTTTCTCAGTGGTGAATTACAAAAAATTTTATTATCTTTGGTAAACCTAAGTTTTGATTACCAAAGATAATACTTATTTTAATTTAAACACATTAACCATAGTTAGTTTTTATATTTTTGTAAATAATGAAATTATTTTTATTTAAAAAAAAAAAAAACCCCAACCCCACCCACTGGTGCCCCAGCTAACCCCAGCCCCCTCCCCTCCGCCAGCTCCACCGCACTTCATTGCCGACTCCACCCACCGTTGCTGGCACCCAAACCCCTTAACGCCGGCGACCATCCCTCATCTCTGAAAACCGCCAGCCGCTCATCCCCCCACCCCCGAAAACCACTAGCCGCTCACCCTCCACCCTCGAAAACCACCAACCTTTCATCCCTCACCTCTGAAAACCGCCAGCCGCTCATCCCCCACTCCCAAAATTCGCCAGCCTTTCATTCCTTATCCCTGAAATCCGCAACCACACTTGGAACCCCTCTCCTATCGGACTCCCCTTCCCTGATTTCCCAATTCCCTCTCCTTCGCCAAATCGGACCCAAACCCACGACCCAAACCACCATCGAAAATCACCGGCGAAAATCAGGACAAAATCATCGGTTTTTGTGGCGAAATTCAACGACGCTGCTTCGAGACGAAGGCCGTGGTTTTTGAAACCAATCGGTTTCGAAGGTGGGAAAAGCCCGATTAACGTTTTTGATGGTGGGGTATTAGTCGGATGGGGATTTCGAGGGTGGTTTCTAGGGTTTTCGGGGAAAAGGGAGGTGGGTTTCAGGGATAGGGGATAGGCGCGGCGGGCTGGGGAGGCCGAGGCGCCAGTCAGGGAGGTGGTTGGGCGTCGGAATGGGTTGGGGCATGAGGTGGGTTGCCGGCGCCGGCGTGGTGAATGTTGTTCGGGGAAGGGGTGGGTTTTTTTTTTTTTTTTTAATTTTTAAATTTAAGTTAATTATTAAAAAAATAATAAAACTAACCATGGTTTATGATTTTAACTAAGAAGATGTTAACCATGGTTTAATATTAACTAAATTGCTCCATTAAGTTCACCATTGAAAATTATAATAAATTAAAGTTTATCAATGATAATAAGAATTTTTGCAATTTACCACTAAGAAAATTAAAAAGTTTAAGTGTTACCATTGAGAATTATAATAAATTAAAATTATAATGGATGCACAATTGACTGCTAAACTTAACATATACTTTGCATATGATACTGTGCAGACTTCGGATTTTCAATTAATTGACTATGCAATCCCCAGAATGCATACCATAATTTTATAAATTAAACAGATTCAATTAGTAACAAATATATTTTGCAGCATACCTGACAATCCATTCTGTCAGTAATTCCACCATGTCCAGGGATGCTATCACCAAAGTCCTGTCACAAGAAAAAGGGTTGTAATCAGATATTGTGGAGGCTTTACATCTGTGTGTAAAGTCAAAGTAATGCGAGTGAACCTTGATCTTGAATGCTCTTTTAAAGCCACTGGCAAAAAATCCTCCAAAAGGTGCTATGATTGATGCAAAGAGGCCTAGACACAAAGCATGCCATTGAACCGGCATGATGGGAATTTCTTTCCAAGGGATCTGCAAAAGATACAATGACAATAAATTCGGAATTCATAATATCTCCTGCAATATTTCATAGCAACATCTAATTTTAGTAGCCATGACTCCAGGAGTAAGGCTTTATCAATCCCAAAATAAAAGTGTCTTCATAGGCAAGAGCATTATTAGTGTCAATGAAGCAAGTGTTGAGATCCACGATACTTTGATGCCAACATATTCTATAAAACATATGGAATACCAAAGATGTTAAAACAGAAAATAAAAAAGCACAGGATATCATCCTTACAAAACAGACAGCAACATCGTTATGCTCTCTAAGTCCCTGTCATCTATTCAACATACAATTTGTCAAATGAGTACCAATTCTTTGTTTAACTACAGAATAATGAGGCACGTCTCTTAGATTTTGTGATACTTAACACTATAGAGCATAATACTTAAGATCCTAGTCAACCCAATTTATATTATAGCTTGACAAGGTAACTAGGTGTTTGCTTCAATACAACTTGCTGATCTTTCTCCGACTTTGGCACAAAGAAATTTTAATTTAATAGCTTAACAAGAAGATTCAAACATTAAGGCTTTTAACTCCATCACAAATAAAATTACTCAAAGAATAAGAGGTATTAGTTCAACATGGAGCCCTTATGATAACAGGTTTTATCACAGCTTGCCTGGCAGTTTCTTACAAAGTGTTCGATAATCTTATTGAATGAAACTTCCTGCTGTAGCAATAAGTCATGTAAAACTAACTTTTTACAGAACATACCAATCTCCAGAAATTCACTCCTTATCTAGAAGAGGAAACTTAACATGTAGTTCGAGGTGATATAATTGTCATGTAATCATGATGGAGCTTATTAAAAAGGCCGCATTAAAAAAAAAAAAAATCAGACAGCCTGAAATCTATGCTCTTGCCAGTAGATAAAATTCTTAAAATGTTTAGGACAAATATATGATTAATTTAATGTCTGATATCATCAGTATTATATTAAAATGGAAGTGATGAGAAACATCCTAACATATATGGTGTTGGATCAAGAACCTTAATGCCCAAGTTCAATGCCCACTTGACTGAGACAAAAGTATGATTATTTGAATGCGAACAATGACCAAAATTCTGAACAGGTGCTATGAAATATAACAGTTATTGTCACCTCACACACCTTCGGCAAATCTCACATTCTCACCTCCTTCCATCAGTTCTTTTTTAAAAATCAACTAACCAAGTTAACCACCGTTAGCTGAAGGGTTTTTTCATCAAAACGAAGAATAGCTATCCACATACACCAACAGCACACTGGGTTAAAGCTGGTCACTCGCAGTCTAGCTCTCATCATGATTTTTTAAGAGATTGCTGACAAAAGTGTCAATTTCTCTGGGCTTGAAGTCAAACATAAATTCTGGAACGTAGAAATCCTTTGGTAATGAAGAGTTACTTCAGATGGCACAAAAAGACCAATCTCAAACAGAATTCCTAAGCAGTCAGCTCTCATTGTCAAAATAGCACTCTTCAGTGAATTGTTTAAGTGAAATGTAACTCCAAACATACTGCTGCCCAAGACATGCATGAAAATGGATGAAACCAGAACAAGTTATCCGAAACTTTTGATGTTATATAAGTTGTCACTGATCAGTATGAAGCTATAAGACCACATTAGAATGAGAAGCTCAGTGGCGGAACCAAGGGGGGCTGGGGTGGGCCATGGCCTCCCCCTTGGTTGATATTATGTATTAAATGTTGCATAAGTATTACTACGATTTTACTTAGCTCAATTGGTTTTAGTTGGTAGTGAGATCTATTCTCCAATCTCCACCCCAAGTTCGAAACCTACCCCCCTACACTTTCATTTTTTATTTTACTTTGCAATACTTACTTGTACCAATTATACTATTTCATAAAGGTTTAACTACTACTCCGGCATTAAATTTTCATTTTCAAATATTTGCATTATGTAGATTTTTTTTTAATTCAAGTACAATACTATATATATTAAATTTGGCCCCCTTAATAAACATTTTCTGGTTCCGCCCCTGGAGAAGCTGACATGGTTACTCCAGCACCACCTTTAGCAATTAGGACAAACAAAAAACAGCAGCCAATAACATACAACTAAGTACAATATAATTTGAAGCATAACACTGAAAACAATGTACGTATCTTACCCAGTTTGCAATATATCCTGGTAAGTGGTAATACTCTGGCTTAAACAGCGGCCCAGGATCACAGTGAAGCCAACCAGTAGACAAGTCCTTCATATATACCAAAGAAAAATACAACAATTAGTCAAGAGATATATTTTGATTTCTTAGAAAATCCTTTAACATTAAGCAACAAAAATATATACCGTTCGTGGACATGTTAGCCACTCAAACCGACCCATGACATTTGCAAGCTGCAATAAAATAAAAAGTTTAACAGATCCATACGTGAAATAGAAGTAAAGAACATTATAGTCTCCTCAAGGGAGATTCAACTTTATGCCAGGGTTAACTTATGCTTTTAAATGGATCCTATGTTTGCAGCACAAGGACAAGTAAAATAAATCCAAACAGGTCAAAAAGCTGAAATGCATGCCAAAATTTGAATAGTACGGACCAAAAATGCTGAAATGATGGTTGTAACCGAAGCCCCAATAAATCCTTCCCAAGTTTTCTTAGGAGAAAGCTTAATCAGAGGAGTTTTTCCAAAGAAAAACCCAAATAAATAAGCCGCAATGTCATTTATGACGATAAGTGATGCAGGAAGAAGAAACCTGCAATCATATCAGACTGAGTTATTGTCCTCAACAGCAGAAAGAAAGAAGATAATATGTAGCAGTCTATAAGAATGAAGGATGACAATTCATCGTAGAAGCCATGATACATCAGCAGGGAGAACAAGGCCATAACACAAAATCTCTTGTCAAAGTCACAATCACATTTATCCTAGTAAGTCAACATTATGTATGAAAGGCTTTGCCAGATCCTCTAATTTTGATATCTTAGCCTTACGAATAAAAAAGGCTTTTAATTAATCATAGAATATCATAGTTTATCACACCCAGGAACAAACTATAGTCTGAAAATATATTAAAATCATTTGAAGAATGTGTTGTTAATATTCAAAAGACAGAGAAGTTTCAATAATCTTCACACAGCATTCTCAACTTTTGGTGCTAATAGTTTATTCATGAGAAACACAGAATCCAAAAGTGTATACAGAATTCACAAACTAAAGCTCACCACAGTGTCACGCTTCTACTTCCTTCTAACAGGAAAGGTTCAATGGCACAATTGAACAAATATAAGCAAGAGAAAGAATAAGGATTTTAAGAAAATACAGACACAGTATACTTTGTACTTTAAAGTAACAAGAACAAAGGTAACAAAAATCTTTAATCTAAATAAATTATTTCTGAGTGAAACTCTTATGCAAACAACAACAATTAGATGTAGAAGCAAAGAAAAATGGTTGTTCACAGTGTATGAAAAGGCATGCTTGAGGCTAAAAAGATGGTAACCTCTAGGGCCAGTGAGGTGGTCTAGAGTAAAACCCACGCCATATCCTTTAAAGTTTAAAGTGTTCCGTGTAATTAAATATCATGACCGCTTTAATATGTGATCCTATTGAATATGTTCTTATTAAAAAATAATGCCTTTACCCCTGTACTTGTTCCAAGGCTCTAGGATACCTATCACCTCAGTGCATGCCTTTTAAAAGGCACCAATTGGTTAAATAAAATAGGAGAGCTCGGCTTAGATTTAGATTTCATTTTGAGCTTCTGACCAAGTAAACCCGCTTACATGAAAGTGTTGCTCCCAACATATATAGTCCTTCACTCCTTCCTCTGCAGGAACCCAGAACCATCTGGAGAACTACACATTTGGATCCAGATAGATGAAAAATACTTGAAGCACCAGATTTACATTGCTCCGATACTGCTCACTGATAGCCTTTAAGGACAAGAAAGCTAGGGACTATGATAATGATACTAAAAATAAGGCGCCGACACTGAGACAGATTATCTTGCAAGGTCATAGCTCATCCATTTACATTCTACTGAGCTTTTATGAGAATCCAAACAAAGAACTAAAAATAGAATTATGCATACACCAGCGTCATTCAGTTTCAGACTAAAGGATGAAACAATACATCTTCGCTTCTTTTTCCTTTCTTTTTTCTTTTGAAAAAGGTAATGTAGCTTTCTTTCAATGCATCTTTAGTAATAAGATATAACAAAGGCTATGTTCTCTTCACCTTATTCAGAAGCTTATTATTTATTCCTGTAATATGACCAGATTAGACCAAACCAGAATATATTCAAACTCGACCATGTCAAAATGTCTTATTATCATTTTCTTATTGTCAAAAGAGCTTTTTAATTCCATGGATTAGATAGACCTGACATTTAGACAAATCTAACAAGATTTCTCACTTGGTAATTTCTTATAGACTTGCATGCACATATGGTTAAAGTTGAGTCACACAAGGAGACCAGGCCATGCTTTAGAAAATTGTGATAAAGATACAAAACGACAGAACGATTCATCTTCACACTTTTTTGCCAAAGAGAAAAAAGAAAAGATTGCCATAAACTGTAGGCAATTTATCTTAGATTGGGAAAATAAAATAGTTAATTTACATCTTTCACTGTGTACTGAAAGTTCTCTTACCAAAACATTCCTTCAAAGATGTTGGCCACCGTGAATGATGACTGTGTGAACACAACAGTAAGTATCATGTGCGTCCATGCATACTGGCCAAACTGATACTTGTACATCTTCTTCTTCAGAGAGAGAATAAACCACACAAAACCTGAAGTCAATTGCAAATTAACTTCAGCAACTTTTTTTACCAGATAAAAAATGCATATCAAATAGAAAAAGATAGACAATTAGTGGTAAATTTTCACGGAGCATAATACTTCAATATCATAATTTACAATTATCAAATCTTACGGCCAAAACACTTATATATTGATTCCCCTTTGAAATCGCTCCTCATGATAAAACATTCAGATGCCACTTAAACATAATTAAATAGGCTAACAAGGATAAAGACATCCATTCTGACAAAGTTCATACTTCGTAGATAAGTACTTTCATAAAAAATAAAAATAAAATACTCATACAAAGTATTTAAGTATATCCACTTGTCAGTTGTGACTAAAGTTAAATATTATTCCTCATAAAATAAGTTTTGGTAGCACTTCTATTGACAAAGGATTATTAAAAAAAACACTTCTACTATTTTTTTCGGAGATTTGAGTACAACCTCCCCCCATCATAATTCACAAACAGTCCAACAAGATATAAATCCTATGGGTTATTTTCTAGTTTTGCTTTATGCATATCCCAACATCTGCATATTGAATATGAAGCATAAAAAATTATACTTTGAAGGCTGAATGCAATCAGGTTCATACAAGCAGAATTGGTTAGAAAAGATTGAAAACTATAATAAGGGAATAGACAATTAGACATCTATATTACTCACTCTTGTACCCATGTCAGATACTCAACACTCAACTTGGGTATGGAGACACTTCATTTCAAACTAAAATCATGGGAAATTTTCACAAAATAGTCAAGTCCAACACTTGGAAAATAAAGGTGTCTGACAAGAACAACCAAGTTCGAGTAACATAAGGAATAGTATTTATTGATTAGAAACATCAACATAGATGGGATGCATGTCTCTTACAATATCACAATCTCAAGCAACAATACTTCCTGTCTTCCACTTTTGGAGGATATACTCAGCAAACAGTGTAAAGGGACAGATTCCAGACAACTAGAACACTTGGGGCTAGGAAGAAAAAAAAAAAAAAAAAAACCTTACACGCTTGCAATTATACTGTAGCCCAATTAATTAATCAATCGTGTCTTCATTTGCAAAACAAGAAAACAAAAAGGAAAGCTGACCAACCTGCGATATACAAGAAATAACAGATAACCATATGGTATTTTATAAGAATGCTAACAAGCCTATACAATACTTTGTCTGAAGTGACAGTATTGACAAGCCGCTGACTGAGGAATCGACCATAGACAAACAACATTGCAGTGAAGAAAAAGTGCCTGAAAAGGTAAAATAGCACATACAGAATTAGAACGCCATGCTTTCATTTGCTATTAAAGATATTCTAGGCAATTCAATCTAGATCTTATGAACTTGAAACTCTCACCAATTTAATAGCCGAAAACCAGGAAGATCTCGATCCTCTCGGACCTTCCTTAGCAGATTAAACAGCTCTTTTTCCATCAGGATTTGGATCAGCATCACCATGGCACAAATATAAAGATGGCCCATGTAGATGATGAGGACAAAGGCCCCAATCATCCAAAGGGTAGAATGTGTACGGATCCACATTGACTTGTACTTGTTACGATCATTGACAAGTAAATTCCCCCCATTTGGTTTAGTGTCATCAGCAGGATTCTAATGGGGAATATTTCATCAATTTTGAAATGAGAGATGAGTTAGAATGGCTTATAGCCTTATAGAGGCAATTCAACAGATAATTTCAATGAAAAATGAGTTTAGCAATCAAGAGAACGAAAGTAATGGAAATAAAATAATCCCAGTACAAAGGAATGAAAATTTGGAACAGGACAATTTTCGTGTACATCTAAATGAATTCAGAAAACACATTAAGAAACAAACCAACCTCATTAGACTGCTTACGGCGCCTGAGCTTATTCATGACTCCAACTTTCATCCCTTCTCACACCGATACCAACAGTACACATACACACTAACTATCTGAAAAGGGGACCAAGTAAGTCATTCAAATTGGGCGCATATGTTATCTGATATAGAGCTCAATATTTCCAGACAAACCAAAATAACAGGGCTTGAGAAGACTATGGCACAACAAAAGATACTGAGCAGTGAGCACAACACAGACATCAACTGATAAAGAGATAATATTAAAAGAAAGGATGGAAAACACCAGACTAATGTTGAGTAGGCATGAACTTAGTCACATGACCTGTATGTATCTTCTTATGGTGCTCAAATAAATGATGTATCAAGTAAGCAAACAAAATATTGCTAATTATAATTCAAACACATTTAAGGAAATAAGAAAACAGCTATAAACTTTGTACTTATTCACATGAGCACAAATTCAAACAACATAACATTTGTGCCCATGAAGAGGAGTATTGAATTTTTCTCACCCTACAGCATAAGTCCATTCTAATCAAACATCATTTACAAAATTTCAATAAACCTATTTTAGTCAGACACCTCATTCTAGTGTACAATATCCAAGTTTTCATGACATCGCCAATAACATGTGCTGCATATACCCCTCATTGCACCTCAAATACTGTTAAATTTAGAAACAATATGAAATGGGCCTGGGCAACCCGAACAAAGGAGGAGAAGAGTTTGGTCCATAAACAAGGCTTTGGAGCTTCCATACTAAAACCAATTGGCAATAGTAGGAGTAACTCCTCTACCTTATAAAGTGGAACCAACTCTCCTATTTCTCCAATGTGGGACACTCACAAGTGGGCTACAATGGGTTTCAACACTCCCCCTCACTTGTGAGTGTCTTTAGAACTTAGAGCACACCAGAAGATACAATATAAATCCTCTTTGGGAATGAACATCCAATAGAGGCCCCTTAACCAGTGGCTTGACAAATGCCCAGTTATAAACGGCCCAACAAACCTACGGCCCAACAAACCTGGGCTCTGATACCATGTTAAATTTAGAAACAATATGAAATGGGCCTGGGCAACCCGAACAAAGGAGGAGAAGAGTTTGGTCCACAAACAAGGCTTTGGAGCTTTCATACTAAAACCAATTGGCAATAGTAGGAGTAACTCCTCTACCTTATAAAGTGGAACCAACTCTCCTATTTCTCCAATGTGGGACACTCACAAGTGGGCTACAATGGGTTTCAACAAATACTCATGTAACATCCTCAACCCTCCAATTTTGGTATGAACACTTGACACTTCATGTTAGACAACACTCATAGAAATTATTCATAAATAGTCGAGTTTAATACTTGGAGACTGCTTTTGTCTGACCCAAGTACTCGAGTCCAAGTAACATAACCAACAATACCATGATTCAAATCAAACCTAAAACAAGTCAATCCTTCAACAAAACCAACCCATGACATTTTCCACCTTCCAAATGCAAGGTACCATTGCTATCAATCAAGGTAAAGAACAATACTTTCCAATTTCTTCAGTGTATGAATCATACAGAAAGCTCAATATAACAAAAAGGTCAAAACCCAGAAGAAGAAGAAAAAAAACAAGCATTCTTAAATATGCTCATCATTTCGTTCATTAATCAATGTCTCCAATTATAAAGGAATTAAACTAGAGCTTTCTACAAACATCATATCAACCCAAAAGCACAAGAAAGAACTATCATTTAATCGAACTGTCCAATCAATTAACCGATAAAATTCATCCAAATCTCCCAAACTTCAGATTCAACAAAATACCCATCAAGAAATTAAGCAAATGAACCAAAATTAAGAAAAGGAGTTAACTCTAATTCTCAATAATTGCACAAATGCATAATATTCAGTTGAAAAGTACAAAAATCAGAAATTAAAATAAAATTTCGAATAAAAATTAGAAGAAACAGGCGAACTTACCAGAGAAATACAAGTGTAAAGATTGTAGAGATTTCCGAAGAAAATAAATAAATAAATAAAATAACAAAAAAAAAAAAAAAAACCCACGAAAATCAAATGAAATATTTCGTATTTTGAGTTTACGAAACCATTTGAAAGTGATTTGGGTAATGAGAGTGACAAAGAAAGGTTGATAAATGAAAAGGTCTTTCGGTTTTGCTGTTAGCTTAACACTCTGGAGGGAAATATTGTAGGAAATTTTTTTTATTACTAGTTACTAGTAATAATTAAAATTATATTTGGAATTTAATTTATGAGCTATTAAAAAAAAGCATCAAAAAGCATTTTTCATGTTGATGCCTTTCTCTTTCAAAAAGTAAATTCTTTGAATTTTTGCACTATAAAAGATTCTTAGTGATTTGTAAGGGGGAAAAGGAGAGATGATAAGATGAATAAATTTCAAATGGGAAAAATTGCCCTGTTTAATCTCAAATTTCGTTTATTTTTTATCACTCTCAACTTTATACCCTATTAATTTTGATCGATCATTCAACTTAATATTGTAAGTTACCAGCCACGTGTCCACACATGATAGGTCTAAAAAAAATTTTAAATAATAATAAAAAAAATAACCTTTACCCAGTTGCAAGGTGGTCGAGACACCTTTGTCAGGCGGCGCCCTGTCGTTTTCGGTAGGAGGCGGCTTCTGCTATCGCCAGCAAGGAGAAAGCCCTTGTCGTTTCGGCTAGGCGGCAACCACGATGCTAACTCCGATCGCCGACATTCTCCCTTCCCCAATTCTTCCACCGTTTTCGCCCTGTTCCCTGCCGTTTCGCACCTCCATCTTCTTCCCCGTCCGTTTCTACCCCTTCCCCACTGGATTTCGCCATCCTTTCCTTTCCCTGTAGAATTCCGACTAGCCACCTTCCATCCCTATTGAATTTTGACCCCTTTCCCCATTAATTATGCCCCCTTTCCTTTCCCCAGCTTTTTGGTGCGCGAGAGAAAAGAGATCGATGGGGGCATGGGGCTATTGCTTTGGTGGCCGGTGCTCCGGGGGAAAGGGAATAATGGCTGGCAATGGGTGGTTGCAGGTTGTCGTTGGGTCTTGAGTGTTTTTTTTTTTTACTTATTAACCAATCAGGTTGCAACATGCGTACAAGTAATCCCAAGTTAGCATGGTTTACCTCTTTAACCGGTTTCAAGTCACTTAAGGGTGATAAAAATTAACATGATTTAAAGTTAGGAGTGATAGTGAATAAATTGAAGTTGGGATTAATATTGTCGGATGGAGCAAAGTTAGGATTAATGGTGGCAATTTTTCCTTTCAAATGTTCGATTGGTAGGGTTTTTTTTTTTTTTTTTTTTTGAGAAACATCTGATTGGTAGTTTTATCTATGTAAAATGATGTTATTTAAAACCGAATATGTCATTTTAGGTAAATAAAGGAATTTGAAAAAAAAATATAGGAATGAAAATTGAATAACTAGAGTTCAGAATTCTATGGGTTTGTTTTGGTGCTTCCCCTACTATTCTACTAATACCAAATCATTGGATTTTTATCGACTTGTTTATTATAAAAATAACTATAGGGTCAAATCTACTTGGAATATGTGGACAGAGTCGGGTTGGGCTTTTCGGACATATGCTAGCTAAATTTTCAAGCCAATATCATGTTGAAACCGGTAACATTGGTTATTTTACTAGTGTTTATTCATGAAATGAAAATAAGAAAATAAAATTAATGAGAAAATTCACATTAACTCTTTTTGATACTTTTGTGAAAGAGGTAGAGAATGTGATAATAGTATATGTTTATAAGTTATTGTTATTATTGGATTCGACACCACCACTTTGATTAAATGTCTTTAGCATAAATTCTTTTTTTTCCCTCTCAAAGCCATTAGCTTTTTTATTTATTTACTTTACCTAAGGATAGTCTATTTAAGCATGTGATGAGAGTAGGGAAAATCATGAGTACTTGGTATATAAGATATTTAGTTTTGGCTTTATTCTCTAATCTTGAGTTTAGTCTACGTACTATGCATGCAATGTCAGTTGTCTGTTATTTTAAAGCATATAGCGAGGATTTAGGGCCTGTCCCGATTTATTGAATTGAACTGAAATGAATTGTTTATGAGAGAAATAAATCAGGAACTGAATTAAACTAAATTGAACTGAAATTAAGCTGAACAGAACATACCCTTATTGACACTAATAGTCTTGAGGCAAGTGCAATAAAAGAGTGTGAGAAATATAGGTTTACCTTAACTGATGAACGTCAACCTCAATATGTGTAGAATGGTTAGAATGAAGCATATGATGACATATATTGAATGGTGCATGGAATTATTTTATGGTAATGTTGGTTTAGAATGCAAATTTTGTGATAGGCTCATAGCTAGAGTTTGAGAGTGATACATTAACTTTGAATGCCATTAACTTAGAGTACCTAAAGCCACATGTCTCTCTAAGCATTCATGTTAAGATACTTGATACTTAGAGTATACATGTCTCCAAATAAGCGTTTCAAGGGTTTCTTTGGATGGCATTCACGATTATTTACTTTGCAATTTTAATAAACTCAAGAGACACTTGAGAGTTGGCCCACCCTCGTTATAAATGATGCACTCAGAATTAGCATAGTCTCATTAATTCTGTTATTATAAGGGGATAGAATAAAGTAGTAGATAAGCTTGTCAATTAGGTTTCATCCAAGAGGAGAGGATGATTATTTCAATGTTCCTCCGATCAAAATAATTGATCTTCTTTGGGAGAATGTGATAGGTGTGGCTACGTCGCATTTATTTGTTTTAATTTTCACGCTTGGCCTTTTTTAATTTGCACCAAATAAAGAGTATAATCATCTGTCTAAACTTTGAACTCTTTCAATTCCACTCTAGCTCACACATGCCTAAACATGTACAAATATGTCATTATGACAAAGTAATCACATATATAAGCTACCTAATTTTATTTGATTAACATTCTAATTTTCTAGTGATTTCCATGAAAATTGCTTAAACAAACCAAAATTCCATCACAACTCTATTTTTTTTTGATAAAAATTCCCTACACAATGTCCACATCAGTAAATAAGCCGAGCTTTATTTTATCGCTAATTCAATAGCATTTTAGAGTTTCGCCATATTCATAATTTTCCGAATCTAGCCATTTGATCAGTATTCCATGAAAAAAGAAAAGAAAATGCTCTATTCTCTAGTATTATTCCTCACTTGTCGTGGTGCACAACCTCCCTCATCAATGCTACCATGGTAAGGCCTTATGCACCGCCGCCTCCCGCAACCAAGGGCAGCAAGTCAGCAACAATCAATCTACGCAAATAAAAAGATTGCCCTAATTTGATACATTTTTATTAATTGATAATTGATGTAATTGCTAATTAAATTCAAAATTGATATTAGTTTAGGTGTGTGTAACATTATTATACTTCATGATTAGTATGGCTTCGCTCTTTTTTTTTTCAAAAAAAAAAAAACTAATTTATGTCTATCCGCTAATTGAATTAGTGGTTTCATGGATGGTAAATTCGCTATTAATATTAGCGGTTTTATACTGAACCAGATTTTTTAATAAGTTGGCGTGGACGGTATATAGGTAATTTTAAACAAAAATAGAGTAATTGTGAAATTTTGTTGTGTAAAAACCAATTTCAGGGAGATCACTCTATTTTTTTTTTTTCTCATACTAAATTTTTCTTATTCTCAAATAAATGTAAAATAACTAAAAAAAAAAAGTAAAGTTGTAAATCCTCTTGCCACATTGCAACATTTCACAAGACTTACAACATGACTAAAAACGTGAATTGAATTTGGTCATGATCAATTTATCATGACTTTAATTTGCTTGGTCATCAAACTCTCTATCTTTCTCCTTATTCACATTTAATTTCTCATACTCTCTCTTTCTCTCTAACCCATGACCATTGGGCATTGGGGCATTGACTAATGGTTACTGGTTAGTTGGTCATATTGTTACACTCTACTTGCATGCCATTCCCTTAAATAAAATTTAGCCAAGAAGTTTTTTCCAAATTTTATTTTTAATTAAAATTAATCTTAAGTTGTAAAAATAAAAATCGAAAAAAAATTATAAAAGCTCTAATCAATTTTTTAAAAAGTAGTAAAAAGTATAAAAAGAATATATCATAACTTTTATGTATGAAAAAATTCTTATTAAAAAAACCAATAATTATTATTACAAATTTAGAACTGCTAGGCAATAATCACGTGTCAATAAAATAATGTTGGGAAATTATCTAATTCCCAAATTACAACTACTCTTTTTCTAATTCCCACCCTACCATCCACGTCACCGGTTCAGTGGGAATTTTTTTAAAAAAACGGGTTTATTAGAAAACCGCTACTTCAAGTAGCGGTGTGCTACTGAAAACCGCTACTTCGGTTTACATATTAAAACCGCTACTTGAAGTAGCGGTTTGTATTTACTAATTACTGATTTACAGATATTTTGTTTTTAAAGAAAAACTTACAAAACAAACCCATAAACCGCTACTTGAAGTAGCGGTTTTTTATTTCATAAACCGCTACTTCAAGTAGCGGTGTTTTGAGGAAAACCGCTACTTGAAGTAGCGGTTTGTTGCTGGACCGAGAAAAAAAAAATTGGTTTGTTTTCCATAGCTGACGTGGACGGTATAATGGGAATTAAAAAAAGAGTAGCTGTAATTTGGGAATTAGATAATTTCCCAACATTATTTAGGAAAAGGGCTCGATTTAATTAAAGTATAATTATAATAGTTTTAATCAATTATAATTTTTTTTTAGTAATCGTATGTACGGGACCGCACCTAAGCTAGTTCTAGACTATAGCACATGTAGCTATGCAAGTTGGGATATGGATTATGAACACCAAAGCAAAATATATGAATTTTACCAAATGCTATATACTTCCTTGTAGATAACATGTTTCTTTTATCACGTTTGTTAAAAATTCGATAGAAAATATATCTTTAATTTTTTTTTTTTTTGAAAACAATATATCTTTAATTATATCATTAAAAAAAACTACTAAAAATCACAAATATTAGTCAAAGCATAGTTAATAAATAGTGTCAAATGTCAAAACATGTCATCTAATTTAGAAGGGATCAGAGGAAATACTTATTTAGCGACCATGAACAATGACACTAAGACACATTTCTTGATGAATTTCGAATGTGTATGTAACTAACTAATAAGCACATTGCATGAAACATGACACATCCACCACAACTATATAGCTCATCACAATCAATCCATGATACGAATCCGCGTTTGAACCTAACAATCATTTATCAATTACCACTCAGTTACCACTTCGAACAATTGACTTTATTTTATGTGAAGTTTTAAAAAATTATTATTGACTTTAATTAACATGGATGCAAGGGTGGAAAATCCGCCAATGCGTCGGGCTTGGCATTTATTTATTTATTTATTTTGACAATAGGGCTTGAGGTTGATTTCAGGTCAATTTGAAGTGTGCTGAAAAAAAATAATTAAAAAATAGTGTAAATTTAAGTATCAGTATCCAAATTCTCATTTAAACATCAATGAGGAAAAAAAAAACATCATTTACACGCCTATATAAAAAACTAAAATACTGCATTTATTATTCGGATAAATTAATGAAAGACTACTTCTCTAGTCATGTGTGATATGAAGTATAATTGTATGTTAAGTTGCGGAGAATCGGAGATATATAACATAGAATACGTCAACAAATATACTCTAAAAATAATGGTAGTTATATACATATATAGACTTAAATCTTAATTACTAAAAAGTTTTTTTTGATGAATAATTACTAAGAAGTTAGAAGTTTAATTTTATGTGTACAAGCACATGATCAACTATAACACATCAACAAGGTCGCCGTCTAAAATTGTCCATGTTGCATAATGCATAACGTCCGACTTACAATTTAATTTTAATTTGGGTGCATGCCAAATAAGAGTATTATATATCATGAACTTTTTTCCATTAAAATATGGTAAACAAGCCTTCACTCCAAAATTCCCCTTTAATACAACTAACCAACAATCAAACTTTTGGTGTTGAAGAATGTCAATGGAGAGAGAAATTGAGAAAAATAAATGATTATGGAAGTTCCCCCTACATGTAATGTGATTTGACCAAGCATGTTTTGGTGCATAATAAGAAGTATTAATAATTATTAAACCCACCTTCCAAAACTTCCCTTTAATCCAACAGAAAATCAATTTTTTGGTCATAAACGAGTTATTTATCAAGTTTCAATGGAGAAAGCAAAATGGGAGTGGAAGCTCCTCCTAGCCCTTTCTCTATCAATTGCTTTTGTTGCTTTTTCAGAGGACTTCCCCTCCCAAGGTAATCCCCTCCTAAATTTTCCCGTTCATATTGTATACTCCTTCTGTCTGGAATTAATTGGTGTTGTGTTAAAGCATTGATAGCATAAGTTGAAATAGTAATGTACGAATAATGTGACAAATGAATTTATCCTGGGTATAAATAAGTTACATATGAAATTTGCAACTTTTTTGAAACATAGTTGATAAATTTCTAATAATTGGTTGTTTTGTTATGGGAAATTTAGGATGCTATTGGACTAAAACATGCCTACATAAGTTGAAGGGAGAATGTGGAGGTCTTGTGTATAATCAGTCAAACACCTGCTATGGCCAATGCCAGGGGAAAAAATATTCATCCTGTCCTCCTGACCATACACATTTTTACTGCTGCATAGCCGGTAATTTAATTTCTTTAACGGTTTCATGTTAGGAAATTCAATCATAAACCATACCATTACTGTATTTTAGTAAACGTGACATTTGTATTTTTGGCCATGTTAAAATAATATGTGCGGCTATTAATTAGTACTGATTCTGTTAGTGAAGAATATGCGATAATATAATAATTCCCTAAGAAGCTTGTTATTCACATATTCGATCAACAGGAAGTCCCACAAAGGTGAAAGATGGGTGCAAAAAGTGTGAGAATAAGGTGGAAGATGGCGACGAATTCGTCTGTTGTGCAGACTGCTCTTATCCGGATATGGTGTATGGTGATACTTCATCAGGGTACTGTAAAAGTGGTGCTGAATTGATTTCACAACCAAAGCCTAAAGGTATAAATTTGTTATGTAATACTGCTAGTACAATTGTTGTAAAGCTAGTATACTACAGCTTATTTTAAGTCTGTTTTACATTGTAGAGGTGTTTGAATGGGTTGTTGGACCGTGGTTACCGTGTTCTGCTCCTTGTGGTGGTGGGATTCGGAGTCGAAGAGTCGATTGTTATGCTGTAATTGAGGAGACTTCGTCCCCTGATTATCCAGTGTATGATGAGCAATGTTCAGATCAAGAAAAGGTGAGTCTAAAGTTTATAGAATTATTACTCATCACAATATTATGAGTTTGGATGTGCTATATTGGCCTAAGTATGTTCATTATCTTGCATGATTTTCAGGATGGTCAACATTATCTCTTGTTAAATTGTTATTATAATTGGTCTTACTTCCGCAACTTGACCTATAATATTGAACAAATTATCTGTATTAAGTACTCGTCTTGAAGACTGTGCAAAGTCAAATGGGGCAAAAAAATAGAAATACAGGAGTATGATAATATGACGGAAAATAATAATGTCAGAAGTGGGATTTGAACCCACGCCCTCGTTAGAGGACCAGAACTTGAGTCTGGCGCCTTAGACCACTCGGCCATCCTGACTCGGTTGAGGATGTAACATTAATTATCTGTATTAAGTACTCGTCTTGAAGACTGTGCAAAGTCAAATGGGGCAAAAAAATAGAAATACAGGAGTATGATAATATGACGGAAAATAAAAATATCAGAAGTGGGATTTGAACCCACGCCCTCGTTAGAGGACCAGAACTTGAGTCTGGCGCCTTAGACCACTCGGCCATCCTGACTCGGTTGAGGATGTAACATTAATTGCTAAGAATATAATTAAGACTTTATAAAAAGTATACATTGTATAATAAGGTAAGAAATTAATTAGGAGCAAAAATTGTCAGAAGTGGGATTTGAACCCACGCCCTCTTTCGAAGACCAGAACTTGAGTCTGGCTCGGCCATCCTGACTTCTGTGTTGTTTAAAGAGAGTTTATAAAAATAGTTAAACTAAGTTTTAGGCTTATGTTTTCAACAATAAAACTTGATGGGCTAGGAAAAAAGGTCATGGATGAGTTGGATCGTTGATGTGTTAATATGTGGATATTTAGTGATGCATGTTTAGTTGTTTACTCATCGTATTGGGTCAGATTTAGATTGGTATAAACTATAAAGCATTAAATATCACGAACAATTTTGTTTAATTTTTTGGACTCCAATGAAAAAAGCAATTTTTGTGTAAAAATTAATGATAAAAGCATTTTAATTCGTCTAAAGAATAATTAGATCAATTTATTTGTCCGATTATTTTTAATAATAATAATAATAATAATAATAAGATCTTGCTAACGAACGTCCTCGGGGCGTTGGATAAACATTTAAAATACTACCAAAAGTGATACATATTTGGGAAACCATGACAAAATCACGCGTTGATCGGTTTAATTAATATTTATTTTAATTTAATCTTTCTACTTTTTGCTATTTTATCCAACGCCCCAGGGCGTTCGTTAGCATTTGCCTAATATTTTATATGTACAAATTAAATTTAGAATTTTATTTTCATAAAGTATCAATATTTCATATGTACAAATTAAATTATAATTTTATTAAAAAAAAATTTATTACAATCATAAATTATCATATAAATTTATTTTTTTGTATCATAGTTTTTTTTTGAAGCGAAGGAATTAGCTCAAAATGCACCACATCCATTATTTTATAATGTATTCTAATCAATTAAAGCAATATACTTTACAATCTAGAGTCATTTCAGACAGGGTCAATATTTTAGGTTACGGGTCAATAAATGTTTTTCACCAATGTTATTATTAGTCATTACATGCCTACTATATAGTTTAAATCACCACCAAAAACACATCAATTCCTAAGTAATTTTGTATCAATGATATGTTTTAAAATTTGACATATAGATTAAAAATTTATCTTAAAATTCAATAAACAACCCGGGTATCGCACGGGTACAAAACTAGTAATAATAATAAATGTATTTTCTGTAAACGTTCTCATTAAGTGACTGTACTCAAAAAACAAAATTCAAAACAAAACAACTTTTTAAAATGGAAAGAGTATTAGATTAGAGTTATTGATTATCCTCTCATTAAATATGGTTCTCTTTATTATTATGATAATAAAAGCATTTTATTTTATTTTTTTTGAATTGACAGCCCATAGTAAGAGAGACATGCAATTTACAAAGTTGCGTAGTGAGCAAAGGCAAAGAAAAGGAAAGAAGGCATAGTAGTACATCCAATTTGATGATCGCATTTCTCATCTTTGTTGGGCTTGTTGCTCTTGGGTCTGCAGCTTTTGCTTTCTATACAAGGTACCTTATTTTTTCCCCCTTTTGACCTAAGAAAATCCAATTCAACAAACAAAATTAAGATTAAAAGAAGAAGTTAAAATAATGCTTGGTTTGGCCATGAGCCCATGAGTTGAGCTGAAACGACTAAACTTCCTAAATGATTTTATCAAGATTAATATTGAACTTAAAATAATATATGAGCTTCTCTTGATAATAATTAATAAACCAAGTTTGATCTGAACTTGAACTTGAGCTTGATAAAGGATTGCATGATTCGACAATAAGTCAATACGTATAATATACATGTTGTTAATTAATTAGAAATATAAGGTAGTATTAGGCTTAAGTCTTGTTATAAAAAATCTCTTAACTATGTCATTCTACTAATAATTTAGGCTTTAGGGTAGAGGATATATAACAATCTAATAAAATATGTTAGGTGTACAAGACGAATGTCTTAGACATTGAGTTTAGCTCGATTAAATGGCTAATCAAAAAATGAAACCATTTGTTCAAACCGATTATAAATTGTTCATGAGTATGTGAGTTTTGTTCGTGTTTATTATCCCTATTAAGAGTTTCATGCGTTTTCTTTACTTGATTTATATCCATCACGATTTTACCTTAATTTGCTATGTATTTCCCTCTTAAATTCGACATTTTCAAGCCTATTTATGTGACAATTAAAATAATGCACTTTCTATATGGTTATTTGCAGGAGAACATCTGGCGACGAACAAGGTTACGTTTACATCATGATGGAAGGATTTTCATAAAAATTCATACGTAGAAGTGTAGCATGGGAGATTAGTCTTTTAAATATTTTTTTTTAATATAAAAAATACATATATATGCAAGTAATGCAAGTATTATTCTTTTGTCAATAGTTTCATCTTACTTGTATATTTTACAACATTATATTTTTCTTTTCAAGGGCTAATTGAACATACAGAAAGGTTTTTTTTTTTTTTTTTTTTTTTTGGGTGCTCTTAAGTTGAATTATTCGGAGTAGAATATAGTTTCGTTTATAAAATGTAAACAAATATGTATCAAAGTAGTCTATATACTCACACCCCAAAATAATGCTCTTGTTTTGACTTTAGGACAAAATATAACCAAACATATATTCTTATTACATTTCTTCTATTTTAATTTATTAATACAATATTGCATTACTTCGGCCTTGTTCACATTTATTGAACTAAACTGAATTGGACTAAAATGAGCTGAAATGTGAGATGTTATATTCGTATCAGTCTATTTGATTTAATATTCACATTTAACTATACTTTAACCTAATGTTTATAAAACAATTGTATTAATATACTGTAACACCCCGGCCCTTTCCAGAAGGTCACCCATCCCAATACTACTCCCAGGTCCCAGCCAAGCACGCTTAACTACGGAGTATCTCAGCATATGAACTCTCTAAAAGGAAGATACATCTTGTTGATATGAGTAGTATATCAAATCCTTTTAAAGCAATCATAAGGGATATTACATATACTATCAAATGAATTGTTAGTAATAATAAAGCGAGTGAAAAATGTGCGAATACTATAAAATTAATTGCCAAGACACTATAAGTGTATAACTCATCAAATTTGGCCCAAGATGACCCATGGCGTGTTCTAGCCTGGACGAACTTTTTCATAGGTGATCACAATTCACGGATTAGATCTTGCCCAAAAAAGAGTGGTGCGTTTCACGCCAAGGTTATGGATCGAGAAAATCATGCTCAAACTTGCTACTTGGGGGGGGGGTCAAAATTAGCGGGTTTTCGGGTCAAAATAAATTCGGCTCAAAATTTAACTAAAAATTGAATTTGTAGGTTGCCCAAACCCCCAAAAATTTAAAAATCAAATCGGATTGAACCGGGCCAATTTGAAAAGATCTACCTTAATAAAAAAAATACAACTTAAAAGTCCAAATAGAATATCGAATATCGGATATGAATATGGGTAAAAAAACAATACATTAAAAGTCCAAACATAAATATCGAGCATCGGGTATGAATATGGGTACATCTTTCGAATACGGTGAAACTTTGGAAGGGATAGTATCGTCAACTCCTAGTCATATCAATAAAATCTCAAGAAGTTGTTTCCTTTTCGGCCACCTCCCTCTTTCTCTCTCCTTGATTCCAAGTATAAATCAAAAAATCCACACTTGCTCTCTATCTCCCCCATCTCTCTATCTCTTTCTCTCTCCTCCCCGAAAATCCACTTTGGCAATCCGGGTGTTTTCCGCAAATTCCCAAACCCAACTCAAAGTTTTTCTTCTTCTTCTTTTGGGAGGGAAACCAAAAACCCTTTCATTTTTTGAATTAACCCCAAAAATGTCAGGCAAAGGAGCAAAGGGTTTGATTACTGGCAAATCTTCCGGATTGAACAAAGACAAAGATAAGAAAGCCCCCATTTCTCGTTCTTCTCGTGCTGGTCTTCAGGTCTTTTCTTTTCCCTTTTTTCTGATTTCTTTCTGGGTTTTTTGATGTAATTTTTGTAGATCTACGCTTGTTTGTTCAAAATTTGAGAAATTTTGCTTGTTGGGTTTTGTTCAAATCACTTTAATTGTCTTGTGATTGTGTTATTTGATATGATTTTCATGAGATTAGTTGATGGGATTTCTGGGTTTTGAATTTGGTTGCGAAATTCTTTATTTGGGATATTTTTGGGGTGGGGGCTGTGTTAATTGTCATTCGTTGTTCCGAAGGTTTTGGAGGCCAGGATTGAAGTAGAATTAACCTTTAAACATTGAGTGAGATGAAGTTCAAAACTCATCTTTTCTGATTAATTCAAGATTGTTCCTGGAATTGCTATTGAAATGGATTCTTGTAGGTTGCAATGAAGTTTTTGCAATGAGATTTGACTTGGGTTTTGGCCATTTTGTGGTGCAATTTTTTTGAAGTATAAGATTAATTTAATCATTAATAAAGTGAATTTGGTTAGGATTAGTTGACTGTCAGTTGTATTAGTCCTTGGGAATTTTGTATTTCGTGTTTTTGTTAAAGCATCAATTTTGGTCAATCTTGAGTCATTAAAGTCACAAATATCAGGTTCAAGGTTCTTGACTACGACCACCAATCTCATGAGGTCTTGTTTTTGTTGAGTGTTATTTGATAGTCATATTCATAATTAATCAATTATGAGGAGTATTGCCCTCTCCATCTGCTTCCTTTCAGTCCACAGTACTGTTTTGCATAGTTCATCTGCATTTGTAAAAGAAGACTGTTTTGTTTAAGCTGTTGTATCTGTGGTTTCTGTTCTTTCTCCAACTATTAATTCAAAGACATGATATGGCTGGATAGTGGATAGGGTTAGGTTGTGTGCTTTTTAGTCCCTGAAAATATTGTCAACAGCAGGACATCACATTGTAAAGCGATGAATTTAACCTTTGTGTTCAGAGAAACTTGAGGTTGAAACTTGGGGTTCTTTGTTGCATTTATCTTGGTGGGACAATGAAGTTGATCATTTGATTGCGTTATTTTTATGTTGAGCTTGAAACTTGAGGTTGAAACTTGGGGTTCTTTGGTGAGCAATTCAAAGGTTAAAAGAAAAAGGTCTGGACCCTGGAGAATGACTTTCTTTTCCATAGTATGGTGATAGGTGTGTGTGAATTTGTAATAGACCAATCTTTAGAAAGGGCACTTTAGGAAGTTTAGTGTTATTAGTAGCCTTGCTTGAGTATAAATAGAGAGAGAGAGTTGAAAGAAGAAAGTAGGCATGAATTGGGTTATAGGAATAGAGAGTTGCAACCTCAAGTTGCTAACTTGCTAACAGGAGAGTTGTAGGCTAAACCTACTACGTACTACCTTTGTAAGCTTTCAGCCATTATCTATCAAATTATCAAGCTTTTATCTTAACTGATTCTTGGAATTCATACAATATTAACATCAGAAAATCAGTCTATAACAGAGTTCTCACAGAAACTAAACTGCAGTAGGTCCCTTTGAGTGAGGTTTTACAAGTTTTAAATATGAGAGATTTGTAAGATTGTAGTGGATAGTGTCATATTTTTCCAGAGAGATCTTGCTTGAATGATTTATTATACATATGCTGTAAGGAGGTGAGAGGAGAATGTCTACAATTGGATTCATTGCCAAAACTAAAAACAGAAATTGATAATGAATTTGGGTCGAAACATTCTGGATCTGGTTTTAGTATCTTTCTACAAAATAGCAAGTCATTCTGTAGCTACTTAGCATTGACAATTTTGTGAATTACATATTTGGCTAGTGTTTTAAGAAGAATTTCTTTATTTTTTGTTCTTGTTGTGAAATGTATCATTCTATGCAGAAAAAAGTATATTTGTGTTCCAAGTTCAGCTTGTTTGTTGCATCTTTATAATTGGTGCTGGCAATAAAATAATAAAGCTTGAATCGGAAGGAATCTAGTTTAAGGGAATCCTGGTGAAGCTGCAATAGTGTTGGTAGCTCTTTGTGGAGTAAATAGTAAATTTACCTTCCTTTACTTGATCTGTCATTAAGTGTTGATTCGTTGACATGCCCCTGTTTTGAAAATATTTATGGACATCGTGCCAAAATAGATGGGTGCATTATATGTTCACATTATGTCAATTTTAATGATGAAACAAATTTTGTTGCAAAAAGTTGAGAATATATAAGAAATTTGTCATCATAATTTCCAGCTGATGTTGCAATATCTCTCTTTTTTTTTTTTTTTTTTTTTTTTTTTTTTTTTTTTTTTTTTCAAATAAAAAGAAGTCCTTCATGGGAACTCAATTTTTTTAAAAAATTTATAAACACTACAAATTGGCACTTTAAATGCTTCATTTTTTGGGCTATTTGCCTCGTATCATTGCTCTTTGCTAGCCTGTAAAGCTCATGACATTCATCCTGAAGGCTGAAGCCCTCTTTGACTGCTGATACTGAAAGCTCTTTGCATTAACTATTGCTGCACAGTTATGTTTAAGTTGATTTCTGATGTTTTATTATTGGTGAGCTATTTATTTTGCTGAGATATCTTTTTGATTAATGTGCAGTTTCCTGTGGGTCGTGTTCACCGTCTGCTCAAGACTAGGGTAACTGCAAATGGGAGGGTCGGTGCAACGGCTGCTGTTTACACTGCAGCCATCCTCGAGTACCTGACTGCTGAAGTATTGGAGCTTGCAGGAAATGCAAGTAAGGATCTGAAGGTGAAGCGTATCACTCCTAGGCATCTGCAGCTGGCTATCCGTGGAGATGAGGAACTTGATACGCTGATCAAAGGAACTATTGCTGGTGGTGGAGTTATTCCTCACATCCACAAATCTCTCATTAACAAGTCATCTAAGGATTAGACCTTATTTATATGATTATCTGGTGTTAGATATCTGCAGTTTCATGCAGAACCCTCAGAATGGATGTGATTCTGACAGAGACCCTTTAAGTAGGTGCCCTTTTTTTTTTTTCTTTCTAAATTTTAAATGTTTAAATCAGCCACAGGATGGTGATTGTGTTACTGATGTGTTCTGTAGGTGTACTTGAGTAGTTTATAATTTCATTCTGTGGATTATCCGTTTAGTTGCCTAGCTTGCTATCATAATGACCTTATGTTCGATTTATGCTTTGCCATTCATCAATTCTATCATCAATTGTTAGTTGTTACATGATTTACCTTGTTAGCAACTAGCATTCTCAGTATAATCACAAGCTCTAGTCAAACAAGTTCAGTTATATACTTGTCTGTTGTACCTATTGATTATTAATTTAGTAATGCAACTTTTCTGGACTTGTTCTCCCTTGTGCTTGTACACTGCCAACATTGGAACTATATCAAGAGACCGTTGTTGGATCGACTGTTATTGCTGCTCTCTTGCCGTTGTGTTAGCAGTCTCCAACTTGTGCAACCTTCACAAGCTTGGTTATCCAACAGTTGGTCTCAGACTCTCATCCATCTCTATGTAATATACAAACAGCCACTGACTAATTCTGCCATTATTCCTCAGTCCTCATAAAAGACTTGATTCGAAATATAAGTTTTTATTCAATATACTAGTAATATAATAAACAATGTAAACTTAGAAGATTAAAAAATTACATACAATAACTACGTAGCTAAAACTACAACAATGAAGCCACCAAGATAACATTACATATATGCAGCGAAAAGGCATATTCTACATAAGTTGATTATACGACCATCGTTACATTAAATGATGAAGTATTGTTGATCGCATCTTGTGTCTTTCGCCTTTTTGTCATTGGGGTACAATCATGTTGTAGCAAGACTCAATTTAGTCTAATTCTTAATCTCTTTGGCTTGCTCGTTGCTACAACTTCATCAACACCAAGCTTTTCATCTTTGTCATGTTGTTCTTGATTCGAACAACCTAATTCCGGCCGGCTTATCATAACCTTTTCAAGCTCTTTTCTTGCATCCTTAGCAGATTCATCCTTTTCATTACCACCATCATAAAATCCATTATAAACACCCCTTAATATATCAAGAACCCTAGCAAGCTCCCTATCCAATAACACCTTTTTCTCTTTCTCTAAAGGAACAAAATCATAATCATACGGATTTATTTTTATTAGGTTAGCCTTACAAGATTCCTCCCAAACACTTTCGGTATCATCAACAATCAATGTTGCTTCTCGACATGATAACACCACATCCAACGCCTTTTGATTCGCCTTCACACAATCTTCCCTAGCGATCACCCACAAAAACTTATCCAATCCACCGAGTTTTTCAACCACCTTGTGAGCATACTCACGGGTTCCCATGGTACATATCGACAAATCGAACATAGTGCTAACTTTCTCAAGGAACTCATGTACACCGGGCCTTAACTTCACAACAAACTCCTCACCACTCGAAAGCTTAAACTCGGAAATATCATCGTACGACATCATGGCTCTTATGTTTTGTCGTCTATGCTTAGACTTGAACTTCTTGATCTTTCTTGCATGAATTAGGGTATGGTCCAAATCAAGAACTAAGTGAAGCTTCTTGCGGTTAAACAAGACTTGAGTATAATCATATTGAATATGTGTAACTTCATCAAGATTGAGGGTTAAGTTGGGATGGATGAATCGAAAGGGTAACTTGATAGGATCGCCACAATCGAATGTCCATGAACACTTGTTATCCATGAATGATGGATGAGAGCATTCCAAGCTTTTCATGCACAACTCTAGTATTTCTTTCATTACTCTAAACTTTTTTTTTTTTACCCTCTTCAATATCTTTGTTCTAATGGTTCAAGAGTTAATTTATACGAAGTAGTAAAGAGTGTAATTGGATTACTAGCTTGCAACTTGCAATGCAAGTACATTAACTAATAACTAGATAAGATCTAAAGATTAAACGCTTAATCATAACGAATTATAATTTAATATTTTTTTTTTTTTTGTGTCAGAGCAAGCTCCGCAAGGAATTGTTTCCCTCAAAAAAAAAAAAAAAAAAAAAACAACATTCGTCACATTTTTTTTAATAAAAATATAACAATATACATTACATTTAATTAATATTATATTTGTCTTTTGGGGCTATATTATATATGAAATTTTTTTGTAGGTTTTGTTTGGTGGCGGAACCAAAATTTTCAAGTGAAGGGGGCCAAGATCATATCTGTAATTTCGCAAATCGCGACTACAATTGAGTTTGAACTCTTGACCTCTTGCCCACAATCACATGACAAAAACCAACTCATCTACACTACAACTTATAACAAATATATGTTAAATTAATATTTATCTTGAGTCAAGGGGGAGGCCATGGCCCACCCCAGCCCCCCTGACTCCGCCCCTTTGTTAATCCTTATTATTTTTTAGTTACTTTTTTTTTCTATCTATTTTAACTTTCTAATTTTTAAAAATTTTGCTTATATAAAATAGGAAGAGGTGTATTCATTAAATAAATATTTTTTTATCCAAACATTAAATAAATAATAATTTGAAACTTACAATCAACCTATATTCAATACAAGTATTAAACACACCTAATTTAAATCTCACCGTGATGGAACCGACTAAACCCTACATGGAGGGATGAACTATAAGCATCAAACTGTTTGTAATTATTATTATTTTGACGAAACGGTTTGAGTTTAAAGTTCCCTAATATAAGTTGCCCCAATATACTATAAAAATCCACTGGTATTTTTTTTAATAATAAATATACATATTATATAACTTACAATCATCCTAACGTTTTTTTTCAAATTAAAATAAATTATAAAATTTGTATGGTCCAAATCAAGAACTAAGTGAAGCTTCTTGCGGTTTAACAAGACCTGCGTATCATCATTTTGAATTAGTGTATCTTCATCAAGATTGAGGACAAAGTTGGGATGGATATATCGGAAGGGTTACACCATTTTGAATTTGTATTTTATGAATTTATCACCTTTAATTCGAAAATAAAAGAAAACCCTTGTTCAGTTCTCCAAACTTGAGTTTGATCGTTAGGCGCAATTGAGCATGAAGTGCCTTATTAAGGGGTTTTTTTTTTTCTTTTTTTTAATTTTTTTTAAACGGCCTTATTAAGTATTTGTCTGTTTATTATAACTTTTTTTTTAATTTTTTTTATGATTTATTAGTTATTATGATTTATGATTAAAAAATAAAAAAAAGTATAGCATATCCATTATCTATATTTATTTATTTTCTTTGTGTTTTGGTTAAGAGATACTAACTCTGTTTTTTTAAACACGCAAAGTGGGAAATCGAACTAGAGACCTCCTCTAACCAAGCAAAGCTCCAACAAACCAACTTGGTTCTAACAACATGAAATGCAAGACAAATATTACAAAAATTACTAGTTGCCAGTTGGGCCACGGAGATATATTCTCTAAATAATATTTTCTCTAAATATTATTTTAACATGCTTTGACTCAATATTATTTTATTTATTTATATATTTTTACCGATAGTTTTTGATAAATTATAGTAAATTTGTTAATCAAAATATTAACTATTCTATTATGCGTCCTATAACTCTGTCAAATAAGGGGAAAGATGGGCTTGATTATTATTCATCAATGGAGTATTTATACAAAACCTACAAGGATAAGATAGGAAACAATATTTCTCCTAAAGATATATTCTCTAAATAATATTTTAACATAAAATAAACCTAAATATATTATTCTCTTCAATTCATAAAATATTTTACCTAAATATATTTTCCGATATCTCATATCTCTAACAAACTCCTATTCCTAATAAATTAAACTCCTTACGCACTCTTAATAATTGCTTTATATAAAAAAAAACACCCAAAAAAATTCTAGAGTCAAAATACTAAGTTGCCATGGATTCATCAGAAACAAAAAGTGAACATGGTGATAACAAAATCAATGATCCCACCACTCTAACCTTCCGCTATATCCAACCGGAATTAACCCTCACACTCGAAGAGATCGAACGTCTTCAAGACGATAATTTAAATTCCCTTTATACCCGCAAGAAGCTCCATTTACTTCTTGATTTAGATCACACACTAGTTCATGCTAGGGAGACCGTGACATTCAAGTCCGAGGAGATCAAATCCTTCAAAAACATGAACGATGTGTTCGAAATATTTAATGGTAGTTTTATAGTGAAGTTAAGGCCGGGTGTTCGCGAATTCCTTAGGGAAGCTAGCTCCATGTTTGATTTGTCTATATATACTCGAGGCGAGCGAAGCTATGGACAAACCATGCGTGACATACTCGATTCTAAGGAAGGTGGTGAGTCGATGTTTTCGTACGTGATTGCTAAGGAGGATTGCTTAAAAGCGGAACGAAAAGGTTTAGACAATGTGTTATCACATGAAAGGGTTGTTTTGATTGTGGATGATAGAGAAAAAGTTTGGAAGAATTGTGGTCATAAAAATTTAATTAAAATTGAGCCTTATTTTTATTTTCCTAGCAAAAAAGAAGGAAAAAGAATGGACAAAGAGTTAATTAGGGTTTTGAGGGTTTTAAGGGAAGTCCATAATTTATTTTATTTTGATGACAAATTTAAGTATGTTGATCAAAGAGATGTGCGAGATGTGCTCAAACGTGTTATGAGGAGACCGTTAACTATTTTGAATCGGGTCACAAGGAAGATCGGTAGATTCTTGGTATGTCTTGAATCTAATTATTACTCCTATTTCATTAAATTTTATTTGTGTTTAAGGAAATTAATTAGGAAATAAGTTAGGACTTATTTGGTATTGTTTTTTATTTACACTTTTCTGTTCTTGGTTTTCAAATTTATCATGATTTTAATAAGTCTGTCTAATTTTTGTTTTATTATATGACATACTTCGTATATCATATGAGTTTGAAATTCGAGAAACCAAAAAACACAAAACCACAGCGATGCCAAATGAACCCTTAAATTATTGTTTAGGTTTGTTGTGACATTGCAAATTTGCTTGAGTAAAAATATAAATGTTTTGCATGTATGTATAATATGTTATATATTCTATTAATTATTAACCTTCACTTTTATGATTTTTAATTTTTTTGACAGAATCAATTCTTAACTTTAATTAAAAAAAAAAAGGTAAGGATATATATATATATATATATATATATATATATATATATATATATATATATATATATATATATATATATATATATATGTAGCAAAATAACCTAAAAATATGGAAGTCAATCCTAACAACATTGACTAGATAAATAAAAGATATTTACATAATAACATAATGAATAATAATCAGATATTCTTATTATTTCTTAATAGCTAAATCTCTAATTATATCATGTCTTGTGTGATGGTGAAGCTATCGCCAATGTGAAGCTACTGCGATGAGACATGCCTTGTGCACATTCATGGAAGCAAGCGGGTTTTCGAAGATTTGTGCTGGAGAAGGACAACATGTGATGAAGGGTCTTGCTCCTCCTTTAGAGTTTGGTAGCATTCTTAAAGACATAGAATGCTTTGTAATGTGGCTGGGAGGTTTTAACCCCTACTGTAAATAAGATGTGTGTGAATCTAATTATGTTTGTGTAAAACTTTTAAAAAAAGTTTATACTTTACATTGAAATCAAACCCAATAATTTTTAAAGTATATATATACGAAGTCTTTGAAGTATATGATAACTTCTATTTTTGTATATTTTTTCAAAAAAAAAAAATCCAAAAAAAAAAAAAACCCTTCTATTTTAGTATAGGTAAAAAAATGTTGTTTAATGTAAGTTAATTTAATTTATACATGTGGTTTATATGATGCAAAATAAAAGTCAATTGAAATTTTAAATAAAAATCAATGTGTGTACGGGACAATTAAAAGAGTAAAAGGAACTAAGGAAGTGTATTGTATTTTAATTTAAAAGTGAGCTTATACTTAAGTGAACCTTTGACATGTCGTTCACTATCAAATATTATCTATTATCTACTCCCTCCAACCTGTTAAAAAATAGTTCAAACCCTTGCTTGGGTACAAATTTTTAGGTTATAGCTGTTAAAATTTAGGTTATAGCTGCTAAATAGTTCAAACCCTTGCTTGGGTACAAATTTTTAGGTTATAGATATACTAAAAGACACAACAGTAATAACACGTGTCATCTTCTGGTATATTCTTACTGTTTTTTTTTTTTTTTTTTTTGGAAAATAATTCAATTTCAAAAATAAATCTTTTTACATATATTTTATAAGGTAATAATTACATACAAAGTATAATTGAAGATTTGATGTATCTTTCCAAAATAAATATATGGACAACTATAAACTTAAGCAAAAAATATGGAAAATAATATTCTTAACATCATTTGTTATGGACTATTTTTTTTTTTTAAAAAGATATAAATTATGTACAACATACGTTTATTATAACAAGATTATTTAATTTTTTTCTTGTTTTTTTAGTTATGTAATAGAAGTTACAAGCTTAAACAATGAAATGCGAATATCAAATCAAGAAATGATACTTTTGTTATTTCCTTGAATAATTTAGGATTAGAATTTCAATCAATTAGCACTCCATGAAAACTTCAATAATACTTGCTAAAGTTGACATATGTCGCTGATTAGTAGTATGATTTTTTCTTGCCATTTTTGGTTGTTTTTTAGGATTCAATTGATATGAATGTATGTAACATATGAAAGTATATAATGTTAATTTCAAATATAGTTAAATTATTGAAAATTACTGTGCATGGCACAAGACCTAACCTAGTAGAGTAACAATTTTCCTCCTAATATTTGATCTTTTTGTTTTTTTCATTTAAAGAGATTTTTTTTTTTTAAAATGTTAAATTTTTTACCTTTGTCATTATCAGGTTCTTTGTAACAAAAAAATTTACCCCTCATTAATTTTCAAAATGATATACTTTCTATAAAAATAAATAATAGGATTTTTTGACTTTTATCAAAAAAAAAAAAACAAAAAAAAAACAAAAATTTGTTTTTTACCACCTAAACTTTTAAAATTTTTATTTACCACCAAATAAAAAATAAAAAATTATTTTTTACTACTTGTCGTCAAACCTAACGTAATTTTTTTACTTTTTTCGATTTTCGTGTCACACACATGGTTTTGGGGGTTATTTTGGCAGAAAGACTTGCGTGAACCTGTCCCACAATAACATTATTGTGGACCCGAGGTCTATACACACGCAAATGACATTATATTGAACATAGTGACCTTTATTTTTAACATAGTAACCTTATTTTTAATATAGTAACCTTTATTTAAAACTAGTACAACGTTTAATAATATTGTGAACTTGAAATACGATGCTATTAGCATAATTTTACCATAGTGGCCTTTATTATTCATATTGATTAGTGTATAAAATATTTCATTAAAAAAACTAACCACTTACGCCTATATATTACCAAAATGATTTTTATTTCAACATAGTGACCCTTTTCTTTAATTAATAAAACAACCACAATTACTCTGTGGTCCACAATAAATTAGTGTGAACCAGATCCATATAAGAATTTGTACAAAACTCTAATCTAATCAAATTTCAGAATTACATTATTTTCTAAAATAAAAAAACCCAAATCTTGAAAAAAAAAACAAATCGATCAACAAAAAATTAATAACATATAGTTGGCTGTGGGGTTTTTTTTTTTTTTTTAAATTCTTTGTTATCGGTCCTTCGCCGCTTTTGTTGGGTTAGTGTGACCCAAATTCCATAGTCCAACTCATTATATGTCAAGTTTCTTAAGATTTCTAAAAAATTCTAAAATAATTAAGAAATTGATGAAGAATGGTAGAAGAATCTAAAAATAGTGAATGCTCATGAAAGTTCTATATTTATGTGAACAATTTGAAGAGTTTGTGTGTAGAAAATTCCACACATTTCCTCCACCTCCTTACATCACCTATAAATATAAGGTATTTGGCATCATTTGGAGTATGTATCCACCTACATATCCTCTAATACTCCGATACTCCCAATGTACCTACAAATACAGCTCTCTAAGATATATATCATGATCAGAGTTTCTACATACACAAAATCTCCCTAATACACTATTCTTAATTTGTATTACTCCTTTGTGAGTTCTTATAATGAAAGTTCTCTTGTAATACTCACCATTCCAAGGGTTGGTGAGTGCACAGCGGAGGCAAATTAAAGATGTAGAGATTGATAAGATAAGTAGGAAAAAAATAAAGGCAAGATAACTAGTGAAAATGGACACACAATATTTAACGTGGGAAAAATTATCAAAAAAAAACATTGGCTAGTCGTATCAACATTAGATACTCAGTTCATCATTGTGCCAAGAAATGTAAATTTTATAAAATAGTCGCAATTGTTGGCGGTGGTTGTCGAAAAAGTCATCCCACCCGTGATATAAATAACGGTATAGATGGTTTCTGTCGGGAGATACATAGTACTCGAATCAATACTGCCTGCGATCGGGTGCATCAATGTTTATTGCTGGAACTATAAGGGTTCAGAGATTACTCTATCTGCTCTATTTTCATACATCTCATGACAATTTCGGCAATAGATGTGTATGTTAGTTCAAGCTCTTCTTCCATGTTAAAAAAGAGATTTAAAGATTGGATGGAAATTCAAAGAGTTTAAAGAAGTTATTTATTGAACTAAGTAAATGACGATTGAGTGTAAAGGAAAAGAGGAGGGAAACCAGAAAATATAACGTTCTAAATACTTAGTTAGTATATTTATAACCGGAAAATCCAATTACCAATGTGTATCTATAACAAAAAAAAAATGAAAAATAAAAAAGAAAAATAATAAAAAATTATGAAACTCATCTTGCATATTTTCTCTATTTTTGGGTGTTGTTGTATTCACTTCCACCATAACCGGCTCGATTCTTTCGGTGGAGTGGCCGGTAATCCTATTAGAAGTAGAATTTTATCTGCATCCCAATAAAGCTCGATGTTGGAACCCGCTTGTAGCTGTGGGTAATCTTTGACAAACTTCCTCCACCCCTCGTAAAAGTATCGGTAAAAATGGCATTCTTCCGGTTGATATTGTACTCGAGTATTCTTTACCACCATCTTCGTCTCTATTACGTGCTAGTATTTTCAGAGGATTATTGTGGGTCAAACGTTCCGCTCGCTTGACGTAGTTCTTCTGACACATAACTAGCATGCTCGGGATGATGAATAAAGGGCTATTAAATATATATCCAAAAAATATATATCCCAAAATCAAAGTTACTATGTCAATTATAAAAGATACTATATTATAAAAAAAGTTACTATTCCAAAAAAATATATATCCCAAAATCAAAGTTATTATGTCAATTATAAAAGACAATATATCATAATAATCAGTATTCAATAAATGATTTAAGCATTTTATTTCTTGATTTTTTATCTGTTGAACACTAGAAACCTTGACACAAGGGAACGTGAACAAGAAAGCTTTACAACAAATTAAAAGTAGACTTTGGTGTAGTAGAGCGAGCTACCAATTATATTTCATTGAAGCTGACAGCTATATAGAGCAGAAACTAAATCACCTAACTATATACATTGAACCTTAAATAATATAACAACCTTTCTTCTACACTAATGTAGTAATAGATATAGTGACCTTTATTTAATCATGTTGTTAGCCTCCTCCCAAAGTCTCAATACTTCCATTTCACAGGCCTTCAACTGGACGAAAACCATAAAAACCCCAATTTTTGTTAATTGTTATGAAATATTTGTGGATATCCATTATCCTCCTTTGTATCATTCCGGAATAATCTAAATCTAGGGTTTATATTCTTATCTAATCAAACAACATGTTATTAGCACCAAACTCTAATCAATATGTAAATTTTATACTCATTATTATTTTGTTGTGTCGCATCTTGAGAAGAAATTAGAAGGAGATTAATCTTGATCATCACACGTTTCAAGAATGTCATATCATTCCCAATCCTCATTAATTAATTTGGGACTAGTACAAGGAGTCTCACGGTATTAATAATTTGGTTACAAAGAACTACTCATATTATTTTTCGATTGCATTGGTTTGTTTATCTTGAATCATCTTTATCATCTATCCATAATATTATAGATTAGCCTTAATTAAGGGCTATACTTTATTACTTTATTTTCTTTTCTTTCATGAGTTACAGGCTAACAGATGTCGTTGACAACATGAAGTTGACGATAAGGCTGGTTTTTATAGTGGGAAAGGTTTTGATATCAGGAAAGTTCGTTCTCAACTATCCTGTTATTGTTAATTTTAAACCTTTACATAATATGTTTATATTGTTTCTCAAATTTTCGTATTTTTATTATTCTTGGAGTTCAATGAGCAATTTGGGAATAGTTGAATTTGATGCAGAAAAACTAATTAGTAGTTTTGTTTTGACTATGAGTTTTGTTTAGTTTGAATCTAAAAGGGTATTTAGAATTATTATTGGGGTTAATTCTATGAACGTATGGTTTCACTAGTGGAAAAAATCTCATTCGTAACAGGCTATTTGTAACGGGCAAAGCTTTGCCCGTTACAATTAAGATATTCGTAACGAGCAAAATAGTGTCCGTTACGAATACTTATTTATTCGTAACGGGCAAAAATAATGTCCGTTACGAATACTATACTATTTGTAACGTACAAAATACCGCACGTTACGAATAGTATACTATTTATAACGGACATCATGGGCCCGTTACGAATGAATGGTCCAGGCGTCCAACTGATGAGATGAGCCCATTAGTTACTTAGGGTTTCACACATCTCCTCATCAGCCGTCACTCCCCTCTCCTCTTTCACTGTCTTTCTCTTTCCTCAAGATTCATTCTCTTTCACTCTCTTTACCACCTCTCCTTACCTCCATATTTCCTTTCCTCTTGATTATGTGTTTTTTTTTAAATTTATGTTTTGTTTTTGCTACTAGATCTGTAGCAATTAGATTCAAATTGGTAGAATTTTTGGGTTTTATTATTGGATTTTAATCTGAAATTTATTTGATGCTAGTTTATCGATTTGTCGCCCTGGCGCTGCTTCCAAAGCTAGGGTTTATTCCGATGTTAATGTTGTTAGAACTAATTGTCCTTGTATTCGAACTTCTTCCAAAATTCGGTGTCGTTTTAGCTCGCCGAATGATGGTGATAGCATTACTGGTAATTTTGAAGCCGATGATGCTGATTACGTCAATTCTACTGTCCTCGAAGCTGGTATTGCTATTTTTCACTTACTATTCTTATTCTGAATCTTATCTGTTGTTGTTGTTTCCTTGAGAATTTTGATTTCTGCTTGACTTTTTAGTTGAAAGTTTGACGGTTATCTTCAAATTACGATAAAAAAATTGCGATGAATTATATGAAATGTCCTGCAATATTCTCATTATTGATATGATCTGGTTTATTTGTGAATTGTGATGTCGTTAATTTCTGTAAATTCAACTGATGAAATTGAAATTGTGATTTCCTTTTAATTTTCAGATTTGGCTTGTATCACAGTCGTTTAATGTATTAACACACATATTTTATGTGAAGACAATTGCTTATTCGTTTTCCTTGCTTGGTTGGATTGCTGTTAGTTTCTCCTGTTGAAGTACTCATTCGAATTAGGCTTTGGCGTGTGTTGATGGTTTCGTGCTTGCTCCGGTTATGGTGATTGAAAACCAACATTCACGTGTTCCAATATAAAAAGACTAGCTAAAATTTTAGAACGAGTAAATAGGATTATTGGGATTACGAGGCTCTTACTGTTCAATGGGGGTTTGTTTTTCTTTTTCTTTTTTGAATTAATTTGATTTGATTTGATTGAATTCTCAATTCGATCTGTTGATTAATTGGGGTAATTGGAAATTTGCAGTGAATAGGATGATTATGAGGTGGTGAGGAAGGTTGGGAGAGGGATGTACAGCGAGATTTTTGAAGGTGTTCATTGTACTAATAATGAGAAATGTATCATTAAGATCCTCAAACCTGTCAAGAAGAAGAAGGTTAGTTTTTTAATCTTTGTTCTTTATTTCTTGGTGAATTTATATATATTTTTTTCTATAAAGTTGAATTTTTAATGTTAATTGTAATTGGATTGTTATTGGGAACTGAGAATTTAGATTGTGAATGTCAATGTCATGTTTTTTTTAGCAATCTCTGTGGTACTACCTTACATGGGCGGAATTGGGAGTATTTGTTCTGAATTATCAATTTGTGGGGTGTTGTGAAGGACGACTTTGGTGTGGAAATTAGTTTAGTTTTCTTTAATGCTAATTTCACTTATGAAATCCATTTTTTTGGTAATGTTTCAAGTAAAATTAATATATTGTAATTGCATGCATCCGATGGGCTTGTTCTCAAATAATTCTGATTTTCTTCTATCAAACGGATCTCGAACATAGAAAGAACAGTTGACTATATCTTGTAAGAGGACCCTCTGCGCCTTTTATAGTGATAGAGTGTGAGGCATTTAGCTAACTAACTCATTTAAGTCTTTTGTGTTGCTATGTGAGTTGCTAGTATGCTTTGATATGTTGGATTAGAATTATCTCAATATGGGCTGTAGGTTAGACTGTTAGAGACATCACCCAAATTATCCCAATATGGGCTGTAGGTTAGACTGTCAGAGAATTCAACAATGGCGGCTTCAATCAATCAATCAATCAATTATCCCCATTGAATTTTGTTTTCTGTGTTTGATGTTTTTTGTTTGCATGTTGATTTAGAGGAAGTGATAGTGTTGGAAATGAATTTCGGTTTTAGTTGCGTATTTTAATCTTAAATTATCCGCACTTGTTTGATTTTGTGAGTTTGATGTTTGAGAAATACTGTAGTTTATTTGTAAGGTTGAATTGCTATTATTAATCCTATGTTTTAGGAGCTTTGCTACTGTTGGTGTGGATCCTTCTGTTATTGGGTTTGGCCCAGCTTTTGCCATTCCTGGTGCTGTCAAATCTGCCGGGCTAAAGCTTAACGATATCAATCTATTTGAGATAAATGAGGTTAGCACTCTGAACAAGCTGCCTCATATTTTCAGGTGGTGACTTCAACACCATTTCTCAAATTTGTAACATCCATTTTCAATGCAGGCCTTTGCATCTCAGTATGTTTACTGTTGTAAAAAGCTGAACCTCGATCCAGCGAAACTTAATGTTAATGGGGGAGCAATAGCCCTTGGACATCCCTTGGGAGCTACAAGTATGCATTTTGGCTTTACTAGAGAAAATGCTTATTGATTGAGTTAGGCTCTGTTTGGGGAGGGGGGATTTATATCAGTAAAAATCAGTTATACATTGTAAAACTCGGTTATCAGCAGAAATCTAAATCTGATTTCAGTGCGTGAAATTAGTTTTAATCTTTTAAAATAAGGTAGACAATAACGAAGCCTTGTTGATTAGTGTATTGTTGTACTCAATTCCTACTTTGCTCTTTTTTTAGGTGCCCGGTGTGTAGCTACTTTACTTAATGAGATGAAACGCCGAGGAAGAGATTGTCGTTTTGGAGTCATTTCCATGTGCATAGGTCTCTCTCTCTCAACACCTCATGTGTGCAACCTAAAAGCTAATTTAATTTTGTAAAGTTGAAGCCACTAAAATAACCTCAAATTGATTTTGGTTTGACTGTTTTTTGCAATTGATTTTGTTCTGTAATTTGATTGGTTTTTGGTTCAGATCTAAGGAAGTAGATTAATTGATGAATTTTTTCATGTTTTGATGTTTGATTATTTGGATTTTAGATTGTTTTACGATTTTTATGCTTTTTTTTTTGGTTCATGTTTTGTGGATTGATTGCTTCATTTTTATATGAATCCTCGTATATTGAAGTTATTGGATTGTTGAATTGAAAAATTGGATAAAATGATATATGATTAAAGATTTATAACAGAGTTTTAAGTATTTGATGTGTTTAGCTGATGAATATGATTTAAAGTTTAAGAATTTCCTAGAGTCCGAATTTTGTGATCTTGATTCATTAATTGATTATAATGCATTACCTGATTACTGATTTGACTTTAAGGTTTAAGAGTTTCATGATTTAAGGTTTTACTTTTTTTTTTTTTTACTTTTTAGTTTTAGTTTTAGTGTGAAATAATTTGTTCATGTCTGCCAGTACTGCAAGGATTAGGCCTAGTGATAAAAAACCTGTGGAAGATAAAGTGCTGTCTGCTGTGCGTTGGAAGATAAAGTGATAAAAAACCTGCATTAGCTAGTATACTGAAAAACTGTGATCATATATATGAATAAATTATTGTCATTGTTACATTGAGTATGTAACGGTTATGAGTGCTAGCGGAAGCAAATAAATTCATGGACGATAAACCCTAAAACCCATAAAATAGGACAACCCCTGAATTACCAGAGTGTAAGATATATTGCCTTTGTATCATTCTGGTTACTGAAGTATTATTTACTTTCATTGATGTATCTTTTTGGTTATTTGAAGAATAAGCTTTCCTCAATTGTGAAAAGATCTAAGAATTTCACCTAAATAAAATGTTCATTGCTATATATAGTAGGATGCCTCATAATTCTTTTTATCCTCGTAATGTGTGTGAGTTTGTTGTAAGTTAGAATTGACTATCTTTAATATTAACAGGAAAACTAAGGTAAACACCAAAAGCTCACAACTATGGTAGAACCATTATTGCATCAGCTGTCCAGTGGATTGGCTCTATATTGATTCAAGAGGCCAATATATTATTCGATGTTGCAGATCAAGTATGGGCCCTTCAGCAAGAGATTGAATTGATGCAGCAATAGCTTTGGCCTAAGAAGAATCAACGAAGCAGAAGGTTTGGACTAAGAAGATCATTGAAAAGTTAAATAGCTTTGGACTAAGAAGAATCAATGTAGCAGAAGGTTTTTAGTTTTAATTATTTAGGCAATAATAAATGTTTTTTTTTTTTTTTTTTTTTTTGCTCATTGTATAAATATGAAGTACTATTTTTATCTCAACTAATTAATAAAATAATTGTCCTATAATTTTTATGCAAGCTAGCTAATCCAGCACAGCAGCATGTGCTGGATTTTTTTAAAAATTGGGTTACACACTATTTGTAACGAGCAAATATCATGCTCGTTACAAATAATGGGGTTATTTGTAATGGGCAGTTGAAATTCCCGTTACAAATAACTTGTTATTCGTAAAGGGCACTTGAAATTTCCGTTACGAATAACAGGTTATTCGTAACGGGCACTTGAAATGTCGTTATTCGTAACGGACACATGAAATGTCTGTTACGAATAACCCGTTATTCGTAACGGACATTTGAAATATCCGTTACGAATAATGGGTTATTCGTAACGGAAACATGGAATAACAATGGCCATTCGTAACGGCCGCATACGTAACGGACGCTGCCCATTACGGATGGGCCCTTTTTGCCCGTTACGGATGACCTTTTTTCCACTAGTGTTTTTATGAACTTGTAGTACATATATTTGCTAGATTTTGGTATTACTTTTCCTATCCGTAAATGAGTTTGGTTATTTCTCCATGCTTGATAGCAAATATGAATGGTTTGATTTAGCAATTATTTACCCATATAATTTGTTTGTGAAATCCTATGTTTAATGCCGAATGTTTGTAAATTGTACGAAGTAAGCCTAAGGCAAATGTGAAACTATTTATAATTTATGTATTGAATTATGTTTTTATATTTCAAGTATGAAATGAACCATGTGGTTTTCCACTAACGTGAACGTGTTAATGTTGGTTGTTTATGTGCTTGTTTCTATTTTCTAATTAAGCTTTATCAGGCAATATATTGATATAATTGATCCGACAGTATAGTTGATTCAATCAATTCAGGTATGTTTTTATTAAAGCGTGAAGTAGTAGGTTCTCATATTGTTTTTACCTTCTCATTTAGTTATATTATTATGTACCTATTATTATTATCCTTATAAGTTGATAAAATTATGAAGCATACTATATACATTATATTGATTGATGTGTGATTAAATTCAATTATAGTATTATGTACCTACTTAAAGTTAGATTATTGGAATGAATGTAAGTTGAATATGATGTGCGGACCTGAAGTTCCTTATATTTATAAAGAGTATTCACACACATAGACTTAAAGTTCCTAGTTTGAACATATAAAGGGCTCAAAACCCTTAAGGATAATAAAAAGAGATGTGCATGATTTACAAAGCTAAAGCATGTTGCTTAGATATCCACTACATACTAACGTGATTCTATAAACACAACGTCATGAAATAATATTATACAAAAGATATTGAATAGTATTCAAGTTATTGAACTTTGGGTGAGAATTTGAATGATTAAAAAGGTAACAAGCATGTTTGCATGAAATTATTCTTGATTATAAAGTTCATAAGTATTTGAGCAAAGAATAGTGTTATGAGTTCAAGAAATTCATTAAACATGCTATTTTGAGCAAATTACTTGAAGAATGTATTATGTCCATAGTTTACAGAATTTTCAACACAAAGATTAATATGATTGGGCAAGAGGAACAAGTAAGAGTTTTATGAGAATATTTTTCTTTGCTTGATACATGACATTACCAAAATAATTTATGGTTTAAGTGTAAAGGATTTCAAAGTTGTTGGATAACTTAATTTATTTCATATCCCCACATGCAAGGATTAGGGGGAGATATTATTCATTTCGTTATTATATGTAATCGTTGCACATTAATTGTATGATATATTGATGGTCTGTAGTGCATACATAGCATTAATATCAATGTCAATAATTTATTTAATAAAAGCGACCATATAATATTACATATTTACAAATGACACCATCCTGAAGATGGATGTAAATAAATGAATGTCATTGATCATTACTAGTTGTAAATGCTCCAATTAAATTTATTGTCCCAAAAGGACAACATCGGTTACTAATGAAACCTAAAGCACGGCTGAAGCATTGTAGTCCAATAGATTAAAAATAAATAAATAAATAAGAAGAACCTTCGGAAAAAGGAATGGAGCAAATATTGACAATGACAAATTTGAGGAAATGATAAATCCCATTACATTTCTAGAATAAAATCATTTTTAGTAAAATCAATATGTCTCATGATTATACAAAAGACTCCAAAAGAGTATGAAATATCCAACAAGATTAATTAACATATATCAAGATTATAGTCAAAACTCCAGCAGAGTATATATATGTAATTATTGGATAAAATATTAGTTGATTGTCTTTCCAATTGTATAAAGAAACACATTTTGGTGTTCTAATATCACAATACATTCATGGTCATGCATGAATTAAGTTTAAGAAAGTGATCACTAGTGTTGGAAAATTAACCAGAGTTCAAATCTATAGAAGTGATTGGATGTGATAATTAAATTAGGTCATTCGGGTTTAATAATTACCCGTTATGGAAACCTGAAGTTTCATTTGATAATGTGTTAACGCTCTCTTAATGTTAAATATATGAAATGAATTGAATGACAAGACATAACATTGAGATTGAGCTATATTTGGATTGTAATTCATAATAATTTGTATATATAAAAAATTTCAAGGGTTAATAAGTTTTGACTTTTTATATAAAAGAGTAATGGGTGACCAGAAGTTCACCAAAATAACTTATATATTATTGTCAACTATCAAGTGACTAGAAGCTCACCAAATACACTATTTAAGTCTTTACAGATCTAGAAGATCACCAACTAGTAAAATTACAAGCAAGTGATTTATGCTTGTATAACAATTCTTTTGATTGGGGCTATAATATGTTAGCACATAAAAAAAAAGGAAAATAAGGAAAGTCATCAACTATACATTATATGTCTCCCATTGATATTGAATTATTGATCTCCTAAAGAGAACAAATTATGAAAGAGTTAATAATAAATACATATGCGTTATGAAGAAATAATTTAAAATTGCTCTCTAGAAGAGATTAAAGCTTGTTTTAATATAATTATTCCGAGAGATAAATTTTGTTGATTATGATCCTCCTATGAAATGAATTTTATTGAAAGTTTGTATACTAAGTTGGTGAAGAACTGTGATGCCCCTATATATGAGATATTTTACCAACTTAGGGGGAGAATTGGAGTAAGTTGGAAAAAAGTAAAAAATAAAAAATAAAAAAAAAAATAAAAAAAAAATAAAACTGATGATTCCTTTATAAATAATGGTAATTTGAAATGTTTTCTAGCAAACTTTTATCCATATGCTATCAAGATATGTTGCACATTGAGATAAAGCTTGCCAATTGTATATATACTTGAAACACTACACCTGAAGTGTAGATTGTATAATCAGTTTCAAAATAAAGATGTGGTATATGGCAAGATAGTGCAGTTGACACTTTTAATAGTGTAATAGTATATTAATACCAGGTGTATGAAATACCTTTGAAGTTGTGTAGATATCTGAATTGTTACAATAGATGGCCTGTGATGTAAGAAAAATTATGTTGGTACCAATGAAAAATGTATTCAGATATCTTTGTCAAAATAGCATGCAAATTAAAATTGTAACTTTATATAATGATACCGGTATATGATGGAACCGATAAATAATGCATATGCATGATATAATCGACTAGTGAATAAGGGATCTGGAATATATATCCATTTTAATGTCGACATAATGATAATAATCATAAGTTTATTATGGACCAGAAGTCTAATGAAATATGGATTTTTAAATCCACACTGTACAGTGTCTTGCAGAGTCTTATGTATGTTCATATACATGTGTGAGTCATAGGTTAATGAATTATTCATTGCGTATATTGAAATTTGTTAGATGCATTACTCATTGTATATTTTATTTTTTATGTCTCATATTGATGCATTAGTTATATACATTAATTGTGGTATATGTGAATATTTGTTCAAAATATATATAGTATGGCGTATTTGTAACTTTGAAGGAAATTACAAAAAAATATTTATATTCCAATGGGCTTATAGTTGTGATGAAATTATTGAAAACACCGATTTAATAATTTTTAAATAACTAGTCCTACAAAATTTTTTTAATATTACAATTATCAAACTCTTGAAAATTTTATGTGACTACATCATTGACATCTCAACCTGAAATTTGAGTATATAAGAGTTAGTGAGATTTACTATTTGTATTCGTAGAAAATTATTGTGCAGTTAATTATGAAACTTCTAAAGAAACGGGTTACTTATGTGTGAGACTGTTTCTTATGATCCAGAAGAACCATGATTAATGTATATAATTGCATATGTTATATAATAATTCATATGAAATTGAAGAACGACATTAATAATGTCAAGTTTTGTCATCAAATGATCATTAAGGATTGTTTGATCAAATAATAATTATCAATTTCTATTATTAACGACTTCCAGAAAAAGTCATAACCGCATAAGTTTAATTTTTAAATCAACTAGCATAAGTTTAATTTTTAAATCAACTATTAAACAGAGACTTGAAATAATGATATTAGAGATAAACACATGTATGGTGAAATGAAAGACACTTCACATGTTCACGTGAATACTTGAAGAATTGAAGATGCAACTTCAGCTAAGGAGAGTCGAAGATCAACGAATGATACTTTACTTACTACATATGAGAAGATATCCAAACATATTGGATTCATCGTTGCGGCACTAGAAGATCTCAAGTTATGTATTCATCAGGGGGAGAAAATACGCGCTGCACTCTTTTTCCCTTGACCATGGTTTTGTCCCAAATTGGGTTTTCCTGGTAAGGTTTTTAATGAGGCAGCATCTCGAGCGTATTACGAAGAATGATGTACTCTTTTTCCTTCACTATGTTTTCATCCCACAGGGTTTTTCGTAGAAAGGTTTTAATGAGGCACAGTCTTCGATAATGGACATCCAAAGGGGAGTGTTATGAAATATTTGTGGATATCCATTATCCTCCTTTGTATCATTCCGGAAAAATCTAGATCTAGGGTTTATATTCTTATCCAATCAAACCCTAATATATTGTATGTATATATACACCT